CTCACTGAACTCAGCAGTCCTCTGAGAGCCCAGGTGTTCCAGACCATGGTCAGGGAGAGCAGGACAGGAGTCAATGCTGAGTCTCGTGCCCCGCCCCCACCAGCCAAGTTACCCCACCCGTGGGTACCATCTCCATCCATCTCTGAGTGGCCAGCTCTGGCGTCCTCCCTGACTTGAGAAACAAACTATTCTCCAGACAGTGGGGTCTGGAGGCACCACTTGGTAGACAAAGGACAGTGCATTATAACTATATTTTCAATTAGTCGTGCACTTTTCTGCCACACTCGCTAACCAAGATCCAGGAAGAAAAGGCTGATTGGAATCATGAGCTTCACCTCTCCCACTAATGGGGTCAGACTCTGGCGGCCTTTATTGCACAGAAGCTATGGGAGACACAGGCACACAGGCGAGACTTCACCGCCACACATGAGGCAAGGGCCGGGCAGAACCCACATCCCCTTAACAAGGGGGGGCTCCACAGGCCTCCCTCAGCACCCAGGCCTGAAGCTTCTGAACCCTAACTTTAAGGTTGGGTTCACTGAACCTTGTCTGAGAGACCTGGCTGCAGGGAGCTCCTAGTCTGATGGGAGAGACCCAGTTCCTGTCCTTAGGAAACTCTTCACCTGATAACAAAATATCAGGGAATAACAAAAATGACTTTTCTTAATCTGGCTTTCCTGTAAAATAGGGATGAGTGTTATTAATTATATTATTAATAGCAATAATAATCGCTACCATTTACTAAGATCTACAATGTGCCTGATGCCGCATGAAGTTCTTTTATGCATTATCTCATTTAAACGTCTCAACAACCTTTTTAAGAAAGTATATTATTATCCCTATCTCATGGTGAAAATCAGAAAGGTTAGGTGCCTGAGGTCACACACTGGTAAGTGGTGGGGTCAGAATTCGAACCCAGAGTCTTATCCTTAGACACTACACTTTGCTTCTACTCTTGACTTAAATCCTTCTTATGGACAAACAAGCCCCCACCATGCACGTTTGTCTTTCCTTATAGAATCTAACTGCAAAAAGGAGGTAGGTAGGTGGGGGCCAGGGCCCTGGGAAGAAAGGTGATGGAGAAGGAAGGGAGATGGCGTGAGAACCTCCTAGGGCCATAGGCCTGGGCCAAGATGCACCTTTGGTGGGGGGAAAGGGGCCTGATGAAAAGGGCAAGGACAGGGACTGTTTGGAATCATCCTCAGGACTCTGAGAATTTCTGAAACTGGGCTACCTATATCTTCAGGCCCTCCCAGAGATACTTGGGATATTATTAAGAGGCTGGAAGTGCTGAAAGCAAGGCAGGCTTGGGCCAAATTGTCTGCCATACCTACACAACCTGTGGGCACAGAGGATTATGGCTCCATTTGCTCCATCTGCAATCCGTGTGTAGAGACCCACTTTTCCAACCCAAAGTGTTCTGTCTAGGACAAGTGTCTGAAGTGTACCCACACTGTAAATGTGGGTAAAGGGGGTCCAGGATTCTTCTTCTCTCCCCAGATACCCCCGTCATGGCACTTTCCACACTGCTAAAAGTGTTATAATGCTTGTCTGTTTCTTTCACCTGTGTTCTGGGGCAACTCCCGTGTTGTAAGGTCTCAGCAAATCCAGAATCAATGAATGAATGCATGAATGTAACCTCAAAGATTCGCAGTAGAATTAAGTCATTGCCACGGAAAGGGCCCTAGCACAGGGTGCAAAGACTATTGCCCCAGTTACACACTCCGAGCTACTTTTACCCACCACCCTGCCCCCTCCGTTGGAAGGACCGCACTGCCCACCCGAAGGAGGCTCACCTCCTCTGGGGGCCCAGCCTCCCCTTTACCTCCCGTCCTCTATCCAAGGGGCAGGCCGTGAGACCGGACCCAGCTCTTGCCCCTCCCTCAGCCAACTCCGAGTTCTAGGAAGGGGCGCGCAGAGGCGGGGAGGGTGGGGTAGATGGGGCTTCAGAAGGAGCTTCCACAAGGGGGCGATGGACGGGCGCGGGGAAGACGGACGCAGGGTCCCTGCGGCGTCACCTGGGGCGGAGAAACCCAGAAGGCCAGCGCCCCCGGCTCCCCTTCCCGCCCCGGCCCGCCCCGCCCTTCCCCGGCTCGCGTTTGCGTTCTCAGTCGTGGGGAAAGACTGATCAGGCTCCCGACTCTGCTACTTCACAGCTGGACGCCTCGTCCGAGGCACCCAGCCTCCCCGAGCCGGCCGGTAAAGTGGGGCCAGTCATCCCACCTCCTTTGGATTCAGTCGGCGCTCAGGAAACGTCAGCTTCCCGCCCTCATCCCGCCCTCGGCTTGTGTTTCCCTTTTCCCCGCTCTCCTCCCTCCTGCACCCTTTCTCCTCTCGGCTCCGCAATCTTAGCCAAACCGCAGCCTTTAGCAATCGTGCGCGCCCACCCGGCGCCCGGGCAGCCTCGCCGCGGCCGCGACTCACCCTGCGGCCCGCCCGCCGCCCGCGCCCCAGCCCCGCGCGCCGTCCGCTCCCGCGGCCTTGTCACCGCTCGGCTGCTGCGTCCCGACCCCCCGCCGGGCCTCGAGGACCGGGCGAGGCAGGATCCGCCGGCCAGGGCCGAGCCCGGGTGGCCGAGGGCACAGGGCGGGGCGGCGGGCTCGGCAGCCTGGCCCGCGAGCGCCGGCCCGACCTCAGCCCAAGGGCAAAGCTGCAAATAGCCGCGGTTTCCAGCCCGTGCCCGGCCTCCCTCCCGGCCTTCCGGGACTTTGGGATTTTCTCTCCCTTCTTCCCGCCGCCCTCTCCTCTGCCCCGTGGCCCCGCCCCCTCCCCGCTGTGCACCCCCCACACTTGTCCCGCGCAGCTGGGGCCAGGAGACCAGCGCTGAGGTCCAGGGTTCCAGAGGTCGAATAATCACAAAGCATAAGTTCGGGTTAATTGCGCACATACTATGTGCCAGGCACTCTGCTGAGCTCTTTAAGGGTGGGCATTTATGAAACCTTTACCACCACCAGATAAGGGGTGGCTCCAACTTCCAGATGGAGAAACTGAGGCTCAGAGAGGGTCCTTGGCTCCTAAGGTCACCTGGTTTGGATCTGCAGAATGGGAAGGCATCACCCCTATCCAGAGGGCCATGCTGTTACTCTGCCTCCACCCATATGCTGCTTGCCCTTGTGGGAAGGTGGGAAGCAGCTGACTGGGGACCCGGGATGCTAGTCCGCCACAAATTCTCAGTGTAACCTACAGCAAGCCCAACCTGCTGGCTTGTGAAACCCAGTGCCAGTTTCCACATCTGTAAAGTGAAGGGGCCGTTCATCCCTGTAAGGAAGAACTTGTTAACAACAGTGGAAAAACAAAGTGGATTGTGAGCTATTAAGTGCCCTGCCCTTGGGAAAGTTCAGCCAGGGGCTGTGTAGATTCAGACCCACAGACTAGAGTTGGCTGTGTCAAAAAGGGCTGAGCTGGGGAACCTGCATTTTAGCAAATGCAGGGATTCTGAAACCATCAGGTCGGGATTCACCAAAGAGATTCCTGGAAGGGGGTGGACGTGGTGTGTATGAAGCTGTCCTCCCCCAAACCTCCACACTTGTCCTTATTCATCTCTGCCTTCACTGGCCTGGACTCAAGGGTAATTGCACGTTTCCTAAGGACCCACTGTGTGCTAAGCACACATATATAACAGCCCCGCTCTCAGTGCATTCGTGACATAATACAGCAGCCTAGCAGGGCTGTCCTCAGCCCAGCTGGCCCCTCTGGGAGAAATGGAGCCAGGCACCTTCTTGCAGGGGGTGAAGTCTCTTGCCAGGCTGTGTGGCGCAGTGAGCAGAGTGAGGGCAGGTTTCCACCTTCACTCCCCCGTCGGCAGCCTCCTCTGTGCAGGACACAACCTGCACAGCCTCTGACCACAGCCCGTGCAGAGCTGCAAGAGATATGAGTAGGAGATATTGGGAAAGCCTAGGAAAGGAGCCAACTAATTCTTGCTGGAGTCCGAAAAGAGAGAAACTCTACTGGGGGTGATCATTAAGCAGACCTTTAAGGATGAGTGGGAGTTCACCAGGTAGAAAAGGAAGTCTAGGCAGAGGCAACAGCTGAGGCCAAAGCATAGAAGCAGGGAAACTTGTCCTGTCTGGGAGCAGGTGGTGAAGCTGTCTGGGGGCAGGAAATGGGCAGACTAGGAAGGGGGGTGGCGGCGCGGCCTTCTCCTGCCCCCACCTCTGTGCCAGCACAGAGCAAACTGAACACAGCTTATCTGCCAACCAGAGGTCTCCTTTCCTAGAGACTGTGAGATGCTGTAGGACAGGGACAGGGACAGTGTCTTATTCATCTTCTGTGGCCCAGTGCCTCACCCAAGTGTCAATAATAGTAATAGGAATAATAGTTAATGGGTATTAAATATTTACCATCATGTACTGTGCTAAGTGCTCCACATGCATTCTCCCATTTCATCCTCAACTTTGGAAATAAGTGCTATTAATAATCTCATTTTACTAATGAGGATTCCAAGGTTTAGAAAGGTTAAGTAACATGCCTAAGGTCACATAGCTATTTAGTGGGGGAGCTAGGAATGGAATTCAGGGCTCTCTGACCACAGGACCCTTGTTCTACACTAACAGATGGACAGATGGATGGATGGGAGACAGGGAGGAACTAAGTGGAGAAGCACCCTGAGTGCCATGCCAGGGAGCTTGAACTTTACGCCACGGGCAGTGGGGAGACACTGGAAGGTTGCAAGCAGGGAGAGATAGGTCAGGTTAGGGCTTTGAAAAGATCCCAGCAGTGGGAAGATGTTTTAGAGCTGACGACACTTGAGCAGGAGGTCATTTTTCTGGCAAATCCCAATTCCTGCCTGTGAGGAGCCTTATTTCTTTACGTATTGTCTTACCTCTTAGGGCAGGACATGTGCAGCCATGCTCACATGAGGACTACTGATGGCGGGGAGTGCCGAGGAAGGGGTGCAGTGACTGGAAGGGGAGACTCGTGGCAGAATACTAAGTTCTGGGGAGAGGCCTCTCTTACAGGGTAAGGGAGAAGCCAGGCAGTTCCCCCTTCCCATTCCCAAGATGACGCTGCCTGCTCGGGGCTTCCAGTCAGGAAGCCGGAAGCACCAGGCCCCACACACTGCTCCATTGTGCACCTGCCTCCCAAGGGGAATGCAGCCAACGGTGAGGCGGTGTTGCAACAGAGATCAACTGCTGGGGGGGCGGCAGTGGAGGAGACCTGGTCCCTTCTCTGGGCAGCTCGTGGTATCATTGGCTTTTCCAGCTGGTGGGGGCGGGGGGCAGTCACAGGAAATGGCCCCGGGGGTCAGATAAGCTGAAGGAAGAAGCCGAGTAGCTGGGAGGACAGAACAGGTGGAGTTTCCCCCACCTGCCGAGAGGAGCCAGAGAGAGAGGACGGAGCCTGCTAGTGGTGGTCTGTGGACTGAGAGGGGTTCCCCGAGGGTCCCAGGACAGAGCAGTGCTCACCTTGCTGCTCTGCCTCGCCCTGCCTCTCCTGACGGGGCTGTCTGCTTGCACTGTGGCAGGTGACAAGGAACTAGCACTTGACGCTGAAGCTGGGTCCTGGGGGACCGTGACCCTGGAGGTAGGTACCTTTGGGGAGAAGCAGGGGACGATACATGGTGGAGGGGGCAGAAGATCCCCTTTATGGCTGCCAGGAGAGCAGGTTGTACACTGCAAGGCAGGGTGTCTGCCTCCCCTCCCTGGGCAGGTTCAAGGTCATGGCCCCTGGCCTGGCAGACCTCCAAAGAGTTGCATGCATATGGAAGCAGCAGTGTGTGTGTGTGTGTGTGTGTGTGTGTGCGCGCGCGCGTGCGTGCGTGCATGCACTCACACTTCATTTAACAAACACTTATTTAACATATACTATGTTCCTGGCACTGTCCTAAATGCTTCATAAATATTAACCCCTGTAATCCTCATATCAGCCGGTGGGGAAGGTACCATTACTATTCCCATTTCACAGATAAGGAAACTGAGGCACAGAAAGGTCAAGCAGTTTGTCCAAGGTTATGCAGCTTCAAAAGCACAACTGTACAGGGACTTCCCTGGTGGCGCAGTGGTTAAGAATCCGCCTGCCAATGCAGGGGACATGGGTTCGAACCCTGGTCCGGGAAGATCCCACATGCTTAGTGGAGCCACTAAGCCCATGCCCCGCAACTACTGAGTCTGCGTTCTAGAGCCCGTGAGCCACAACTCCTGAGCCTGTGTGCCACAACTACTGAAGCCCACGCGCCTAGATCCCGTGCTCCACAACAAGATAAGCCACCGCAATGAGAAGCCCACGCACCGCAACGAAGTATAGCCCCCGCTCACCGCAACTAGAGAAAGCCACACCCAGCAACAAAGACCCAACGCAGCCAAAAATAAATAAATTAATTATTATTTTTAAAAAGTCACAACCGTACACCTTGCCCAAGGTCTGATTCTGTGTATTTGTGCCTCAGAGGACATTGTCCAGCATTTCCTTTCAAGGGGGTCAACTTGGGGCGGGATCACTGTTTTGTCTCACATGCAGAAACTCTTATTTCCTGACAAGTACTGGTTTGACTGCCAGTCTCTCCTACTAAACTGACCTGAGTTCTGTCACTGGGAATAAATCTCAAAGTTAGAGACACAGCATCTGAGCCCCACCCTGTCTGGTCAGGGAGACAAAGATCCTGACCTTGGGGAGTTCCAGTCAGACAGGGGAGCAAGGCCAGTGGATCAGAGACAAACTGGCCCGGTGCTCAGGGAAGGCCTCCAGGAGGGCAGATGGGACTGGGTGGGGCCTGGCTCCTCCAAGTCCTGGGATGGTGAACACACTGGGGCCACAGGACGAGCCATCGAATAACAGCCATTCCTGGTGGGTTTCCTTCATGGCAGGTTTCCTTCCTGGTTTGTCTGAATGTGGAAGTGTGTGCCATTGAGAAGACAGCAGGCTGGAGAGACCCAGGTTCAAGTCTCACCTTCTCCACTGGCTCTGTGCGAACTGGGGAAGGTCACATCAGTTTCCTCACTTGTAAAATGGGAGCAGCGGGGAGAGGATGATCCGCAAGGCTTTTTATTTTTCCAGCTTTGACACGGAGTCTGTGCCCAGGCCCAGGGAAGCTGTGTGATGGTGGCCTCTCTACATGGCCACATGGGAAACATCAACCTCAGCTAGTACTGCTGGGCACCTGCAAACACCTCACCTGGTTCCGATGCTTCTTCTCTGCTCACTCTCATTTAACATCCCTCTGCTTCCCGAGACACAGGGCTTGGGAAACAGGAACCATTAATCCAAGTGAGGCGACGGGAGGGACGGTGCCTCTGTCAGGGATGATCCGACCGCCTCCCTAGCTCTCAGGTCTCCCCGCCTGCGGTTAGCCCTGGAGCTGGGGATTTGGGCTAAATGGATAAGGAGGGCTTCCAGTGAGGGCAAGAGTCCTTCCTGAGTGAAAGATGCCTCCTAAAGGCCCCCCAGAAACCCAGTGGGTGGGAGAAAGGTGAGTCTTATTTAATTCATAAAAAGCCATTCTCTCCAGCCTGCATTTGAAGACTGCCTTTTACCAAGGCAAAGTGCTTTCCATAAGATTTTCAGAAATGGGTCCAAAGACACTTTTCCGGTTCCTGGCCAGGCCAGGCGACTCCAGGCCGAGACAGGGGCCCCAGCCATTGATGTCCTGGGGAGGAGACAGATTGGAAGTGACTGAATTCGTCCAAAGCTTAGAAAACAATTCACTCCTGATCCCAAAAGTTGGGACGAACTGTGAGAGGCGAAGGGGTCTCCACTGCACCCCAGCCAGGTCCCTGCTGGTCCCCGAAGCTCCAGTTCTGCCCCTGGGGAAACTGGGAATGGAAGAGCAAGTCCCTGACCCAACCCCAGCTGCCAGCCTCCTGGCAGGTGGCTTGTGTTACTCTAGGGCTCTGTTCACCTGTCTCAGCCTTCCTGGAAAAGGAGACCCCATCCTCTTCCCTATTCCCAGACTATCAGAGAAAGTACCTTTCATTCAGCATCCTGTATCCCACACATGCTGAGCTCCTGTGTGTACCAGGCACAGTGCCAGGTACTGGGGATATAGAGATGTGAAGACGGTCTAAAGAACATCACCCACTGTCATTCTCTCCACTAGTGAGCCTCTCTCCCTCTCAGCAGAACTAAGCAGGGCCTTCACCAGAGGCTGCAGTTAAGGCCAGAGAAGGAGAGGACTTCGGCCAAGGTCACAAAGGTTAACGGAGGAATGAGAACTTAAATCTATAGTCCTTGGTCCAGAACTTTCACCCCATCAGCTCAAGGATGAAAATGTCTTTGCCCAGGGGAGTGGCCTCCACCCCAGGCCACATGCCATTATCCTCACAGGGAGGCCCAGGTTCTAGGGCAGGATAAATCCAGGACAGTGGTGGTAGTGCCGGGGGAAGAGAGGAAAACAGGAGTTAGAGAGGAGGTTGGAGGGGAAGCAGTCTCATCTCGCCAACTGGGTGCCCACCCCAAGTCCATCAGCTGCCCCCTCCTTGTCTACGCTGGAGACATTTCCCAAGATGGAGCAGAGCCTGTGCTCTGGAGTCAGACTTCCTGAGTGGCTCTACCACTTCCTGTGTGACCTTGAACAAGTCACCTAACCTCCCAAAGTCTCAGTTTCCCTACCTGTAAAACAGGGATAAATCAGCCCCTACTTCATATGGTTGTTGCGAAGAGTAAATGAGATTATGACCGGAGTGTTTGAGCTTTAAGCCAGATGACATGGGTTTGAGTTCTGGCTTCATCTCACATCCTTGCTGGTAATTGCTCTGTGCTTCAGTGTTGCCATCTGTAAAATGGTGACAGTAATAGTACTTACTTCATGTGGTTTTGGTGAGGATTAAGTGAATTAATATATGCAAGTGCTTAGGAACATGGTAAAATGTTAGCTATTAATTATTATTATTATTTACAGTATTGTGTAAAATGTGCAAAGGAGCTCAGTGGCAGCACAGAGCCCGTGTTATTGAGATTGTTATTGCTCAGGCTGTCTCCTTGCCCCAACTCTAAGGAACTCTCTGCTTCTTCGGGAAGATGTTGTGCCCAGCATTCAGCTCCAGCTCTGGGAAGTGAAGAGGGGCAAAGCGAACCAGTTCTTTGGACTGATGGGGAAGCAGGTGGGAGGTGAGTGACAGAAGTGGGCGGGTGCCCAGCGAGGAGGGCTTCTGGGTGGGTTCTGTTACACCAAGCAGAGACCCTAGCTTACAGCAGCTCTTACTCCGGTCCAGTAGGGGGCGCTCATGTGATGGGATGGGATAGAGTGTCCATGTCAATTATCATCCAAACCAGGATACTTCAGAGAGTGGTAATTATGCCAGGCAACAGGTGCAAACCAGGGCTGTCTCCAGCATCCGGGGAGTGCAGTCACCCTAAGGGTGGGGACAAATGCATTGCATCCTGCTGGCGCCTTCCTACAATACAATGGATGACTGGAGAGAGGTGGTGGTGCTCAAGATCAGCCTCTAGATGTGAGTAAAGGCATGGGCTAAGCTTTCTAGTTGATTCTGTTTGGCTCAAATAGAATTATTAAAATGAACCTATGTTCCCTGAGGGCACGCTTGACCCGTGATTCATGTCCTGGGGGGACAAGGAGAAAACAGTCTGAACAGAGAGCGTTTTCTTTTTCTTATTGCCAATATTGTATATTTTTCAAAGTAGTGTTGGTGAGGATATGAAAGAACTGGCACTTTGGGCTTCCCTGGTGGCACAGTGGTTAAGAATCCACCTGCCAATGCAGGAGACACGGGTTCGAGCCCTGGCCCGGGAAGATCCCACATGCCACGGAGCAGCTAAGCCCACCACAACTACTGAGCCTGTGCTCTAGAGCCCGTGTGCCACAACTACTGAAGCCCGCGCGCCTAGAACCCGTGCTCCGCAACGAGAAGCCACCGCAATGAGAAGCCCGCACACTGCAACGAAGAGTAGCCCCCGCTCGCCGCAAGTACAGAAAGCCTGCGCACAGCGACAAAGACCCAGTGCAGCCAAAACTAAATAAATAAATTTATATTAAAAAAAAATATATATATAGGGCACATCCATACCCTTTATGGCCATTAAAATGGATGAGGCAGATCTGTGGAAAGATAAAGATCTCCAAGATACTGGTTAAGTGGAAAAAGCAAATTATATAACAATATGTAAGATAGGAGTTTACCTGTTTAAAAGAAACACTACATACTTACACAGATATATATATGAAAACATAGGGAGAGTTCCAGAAGGATAAATATCAAACTGTCTACAGTGTTTACGCCTAGGATAGGAAGTGGAGGTGAGGGAGAGAGTTAAGAGGGACTTTTACTACACTATCCTCTACATTACCATTTTATAGTGGGCATTTATTCAGAGACTGCTTTTTTATTCTTTTCTTTTTTTGTTGCGGGGGGCATGCCACATGGCATGGGATCGACCAGGGATCAAGCCCGTGCCCGCTGCAGTGGAAGCACAAGAGTCTTAACTACTGGACCACCAGGGAAGTCCCCAGAGACTGCTTTTGTAATTTAAAAAATGCGTATAAAAATAGAGAAAACCTTCCCAGTACCTCCACAAAAAAAAAAAAAAATAGAGGAAATCAACTTGTGAGCAAACACTTTTGGCCTCAGTTTCCTCCTCTACAAAATGAGTTTTGGACGGGGCCGTTTCAGAGCTCTCTTCCAAATCCAGCAACCCATGAGGAAGCAGGGGAAGGAATTATATGAGAAATATTTACTGAGGAACTCCCTGGCGGTCCAGTGGTTAGGACTCCGCGCTTCCACTGCAGGGGGCACAGGTTCGATCCCTGGTCAGGGAACTAAGGTCCCGCGTGCTGCGTGGCACGGCCAAAAAAAAAAAATTTTATTGAACACTGTGCTCACATGTGATTAAATCTCACAATATCCCCTTTACCACCAGCAGGGAAGCTAAAGCTCAGATAGGCTAAATACCTTCCCAAGGATGCCCAGCTGGTGCCAGGAGCAATGACTCCAAAGTATGCGCACTTCCTACTACCCCACACTGCCTCCTACCCAGAGTGTACCTTGTGCGGCCCAGCCACACCAGGACAACAGGGGGTGACTGGAGTTCCATTGAAGACCCACCGAAGGTGTGGGATCCCAAAGAGCCATGAGCCCTTTCACCTCACTGGGCCCCCAGGGAAGCGGTGCAGCCCTCATTCCTTCTCTCTCTTTTCCCCAGGAATACCTCCCATCCAGCCAGAGAGAAGAGGTAAGTGTTGTCCAGACCTTCCCCCAGCATGCTCCCTAGGGAGAACCGAGTTGTCCAGGGAGGCGGGAGAGATGCTCTGGCCAGGGCGCACCAGGCTGGCATTGTGGAGGACCGGGGCAGCATGATTTGGCCGCATGCTAGGCTCCCTGGTTGTTTCCTTAGAGAGGCGGTCTGTGCATACCTGGGGAGTAGCTGCAGGGATATGGAAAATACGGGGATGAACCTAGTTCTGCCAAAGGTCCAAAATTACCTTGGGTCTTACTAAAGCCTGGAGTTGGAGAAACTAATCAATCCAGAAGGACCTTAAAAGTGAAAAGCTGTCCTTTTGGTGAAAAGGGAAAAACAATATCAAAAGAAAACAAACCAACCTTTACCCACCACCCTTCAGTGCTCTCAGGAGCAAACCTAACGCCCTAGACTCACCACATCCTCCCGGGCGCCCTCACTGACAGGACTCCTAGCTCCTCTCTTTCCCTGCCTGCCTGCCTGCCTTACCCAGAGCTTGTCTCCATAGCCTGGGCACGGTGCCCTCCTTGGCACACTGCCTTGTACTGTTCTGCTGGGTCACATGGCTGGTGTCCCCAGAGCAGGAACTACCCCACAGGCAGGTAGAGGTCTGCCATCTCCTCTGTCCCCACAGTTTCTCTTAGAGGTGCCCACGAGGTGTTTGTGGAAGGAAGGGGAGAAGGGAGGGAGAATGGAGGAGAAAGAGGAAGGAATCAGTGAATGCATCAGTGAATGAATGAACCTCAGCTCCTAGATTGACTGAGAAATGACTCCATTCATGAGGCCCCAGCTCTGGCCCTGTCTTTCTTGGTTCCCAAGACAGCCTTCCTCTACTGCACTCTCTTTTTCTTCTCTATCTCCTCTCTTCACCACCAGGGTATCAGCGAGGACCAGTAGTCCAGGGCCACCTGGGCAGGGGAGGACCATCTACAGAAGGTAGATGAGAGCTTCTACTGGATTGCAAGGGCATAATGAGAAAGTGACCAGACACATTTCCGCCAGTCTCCACAGTGGGGGCCAGGCAGCTGGCCAGACAGAAAGGCTCCCCACAAGCTATTAGGCAGAGGCCCCACGGAAGAGAGCAGTCGAGGTGCAGGGAGATCATGATCCCTTTGATGATCCAGGCCTGTAACAGCCGTAGCCCTGCAGCTGCACCCTCTCCACCCCCAACACACCCAGGCACCCCCCTCTCAGGGCCAGCTGAAGCTACAGAGTAATGTGTGGTTTTTCAGACCCTGGAACATCCCCCTTATTCCCTTACTAATCGTTGTTAGAAAGTCTTAAGGTATTTCCTATCTTCAACGATTATAAATAAAGGCAAATGGCCCCGGGAGGGGTAACACCCTAAGTAGTTATCAGCTAACGCCTTCTGGCAGGGGCAACCCCAAAGGGGTTCAAGGGGACGCTCAATAAATGAACAGGCATCAAAGTAGATAAGTGAATCGAGCTGGGGAAGGATCCATAGCTCAAGCCAGTCAGCTCAAGAGGAAGGGCAGGGGGTGTCTCAGCTGATCAAAGACGCCAAGCTCAAGTCTGCTTTCCTCATCCTGACCTCTCCCCCCAGAGCCGCAGACCTGTGGACTGCTCTCTAGCTTCCCTGATACCTGCTCCTTCCAACATAGGCTCTTGGGAATAAAGATGGGAAAGTCCTCTATATTCCCCCAAGAGTTTTTCCTAAGTGTCTGAGCCCTTCCACTCGAAGGGCCATGGAAGTCAACCCAAAGCCAATGTGGAAATGAATGTCCCTCCATGCAGAGTGTTGGCAGGAGCCTTAGAAATCACTTTTCAGGGATGGAACTAATTTGCCCAAAGTCACACACTGAACTGATAACAGAGCCAGGACTAAACACTGTGTGTCCTGCTCCCTAGGCCAGGGCACTTCCCGTGGCCCCAGGAGGGCCTTTGGAATTTTGAGCGGTGGATTACCACTCCCTTTCTTTAGAGGATTAGTGAGGGTTGGCTCCTCCATGCTCTGGAGGCGTTTATGGTTGAAAAATGGAAGCTGTGCCAGATGAACCTGTAATTTGCCTTAGATATCTGCAGCTGGAGAAACGCGAGTTAGGGACGTGGAGGGCCTTGGGTGGACGACTAGGGAAGGGCTCCGAGGGTGGAGGAGGCAGACCAGTCTCCCCTAACCGCCGGCCACGTGCAGCACTCTTCCCAGGCCGAGAGGATGAGGACCACTGGTCAGAGTGAGAGCCCCCGCCACGTGCTTCCCAGAGGACGAAAAACCCCTTTCTCCCTACCTGGACGTGACAGCCAACCAGCCAGCCTCCGTGTCTCCTGGGCTCATCGCCAGCATGTCCCTACCACCAGGCCCTCACTGGACTCACTGGGGCTCCTCCCAGGACTCTCGGTCTCAAGCAGCAGTCGTGCATAAGTGCACGGTTGTCACCACTGTGAGCTAGTGACCCTGCCCGCACCCCCCCTCACTTGGACCTCACTGCACAGCAGGATGAGTCTCCCCCGCCCCCCTATCTCCTGTGCCCAGAACACAGCAGGAGCTCAACAAACCAATGAACAGTGGATGGCTTCTTCTCCGGTGCAGGGCAGAGGGCAGGTATGGCCTGGGCTCTGCACTCTGCCCAGGGGCCTGGCATGTCAGCATTTGGGAGACCTTTTTGCAGGGTTGTAAAGGGAAATACTGAACAGTTGTGCTCCCCACCCGAGGTGGGAAAACAGACTTGGGACACAGGTAAACGTGACAAGCCCCTGCCTGAAAGCAGGCACCCCCTCCCTATCCACCATCATAACCTCAAGGGGCAGAAGTGGGTCCCAGGTCCTTCATCAGTTCTTGTGTATGAGGCGGCCCGTCAACTGACTGCTCTGCTTTGGGGACACAGGCATCTAGTCATGCTCCCAGCACTGGGAAGAGCTCTAGAGGAAGGAAACAGGTCCCACCTCAGGGAGCGGCCACCACCCCCCCTTCTGACGGGGAGACCATTGTCCTGCCCCAGTGGCTCATAGGCAGGCGGGACACAAAGGACCCTAGGATGCTTAGAAAGAGCTAGAATGAAATCCTAGGGGCCAAACCTAGGTGAACAAAGGACTGAGCTGGGAGTTGTGTGGGTTCGGCGGTAAAGGGCGATTCATTAATTCACTGGGCTACATAACATTCAGCTTCTGTGTCCCTCTTTCCAAAAAGAAAATGGGTTAGGGGCTTGGGGGGGTGCCTGATTCTTTGGGGGTGGGGTCGTTAGGCTGTTTAAAAGGAGGGGAAGAAGGCATTGGTGGAGAGGCCAGGCCCTTCATCTGGGTGCCAGGGAAGGTTTTAGTGACAGCAGAGGCCCTGAGAGGCCAGACGGTGTCTGCACAACCAGTTAAGATTCTTCTGTTTGACCTGTAGTGAAATAGTCTCCATCTCAAGACTGACTGTCCATCGTGAGGCATCTCTCTTCCTCATTCTCACACCTTACCCGTGTCCAGGGAGAAATGTGGGAGTAGGGGGCGGTGCAAGCCGCCTCCTGACTGCAGGCCTCCCAGGGTCCAGCACCCCCCCCAAAAAAAGTCCAGCTCACACTCCAAAGGAAAATTAGCTCTTACTGGAAGGAGCGGCACACACATCCAGAGATGGGAGAAATTGTTGGTGGCCATCTCTGGAGGGGATCTACCGCACCTTTTTTGTGAGATAAGGGTATAGGTTCCTAAAAACTTTGGAACTGATTAAACATAAGGTGAGTGGTTTCCAGAAACAAATACCCAGTTGAGAAACACTGACTTCTTGGAATGGACATGACTTATCAAGGATAAAGGTGTTTACATCTCACATAGAACATCTGGGAGGAGCAATGGAGCCAAAGTTGTGCAACAGCACAGGTTATTTTCTCCACTCTTGGGCACAAATAAACAAACTCCCAAACCCCAGAATGGTAGCAGCATGACCTGCATCTACACGTATTGCACAAGACGGAAGAGACAAACTGATACTCCAGCAAGGGGCATTTTTCACCACTGGGCAGCCTTTTTTTTTCCTTCTTAGTGACACTCATTGGCATTTTGTTGAAGATACCACAAAGGATGTGGGCAATTAAACTGCCCCCATCAGCAGGAGACAGTCTGGAAGAGACAGTCATACAAATTTATAGCAGAAAGTGCTGGAGCAAACCCAGAGGAGGTCCAATTCTACAATTCCATGATATCAACGAATAGCAAAAAGTAGTTTCTAGAATTCCTAGCATACATCATATATATTTAGCAAGAGTTTTCACCTTATTCTCTGAACATGCAAAACCCTGTATAGCACTGTGTATATATGCGCACCTGTGAGGATCCTAACGTTGAGCCAGTGAGCCAGGCCTTCTCCCTGTCATCACTGTACCTCACTTAATGGGACCTGTCATCTTACACAAAGAACTAGTCATGGGCTGGGAGTGAAGGCAGGTAGGTGGGGTTCCTGCCTTTTCACTGGAGCTTTCTCAAACCAGGGTTTCTTATTTACTAACCCCAGTTCAGAAATGGACTTCAAAGGCTCAATTTCCTGAACTGTAGACAAATGTGTGCATATTTGCATTTATGTATATTTTTTTAAAAAGACTCGATGCTTTGATTAGATTCCCAAAAGGTCAGAAGGAAAGTAAAAAGGGTAAGGATCACTGAGAGCTACACTGCTTGATCCTAGCACCTTTCATACAAACTACACTTCTTCAATGTTTGGCATATCAATTGCTCTTCAAAGGAGGAAAAGGCAGCCATGTTTACGACTAGTTACTAATATACATTCAAAAAGCTGCTTTTCATTGGTTTCATATTCCAGAAGGAATGTGTGCTGTAAGCAAGCTGTGGTATTTTTCTATGCTGGCTTCCCATGAACTCCATTAGAGGCCATTCCTAACCCCAGCGAGGCAACCTGCCCAGAACTACAGGGACAAACCAAAGCTGAGGACATGTCAAAAGCATCATCTTCCCTATAGAGGGCACACCATATTCCTAAAAGTTACTTAATATGACTCACTGTTCCCCCTGTGAGAAAGGGGAAAGCAGGCACGGAGGCATCAGATGACTCACAATAGCGTTGTCAGAAGCACGGGATTTGGAATCAGAGGAGCAAGGCTCTCATTCTGTTTCTATAACCCAGCAGCAAGACCTCTGAGCCTCAAATTTTCTCATGCGGAAAAGGGCTACAATACTCACCTTACGGTGGTGGCGTTGTAAGGACTGAAGGAAACCATGTAAGTAAAGGGACAGACAGTGCTTGCTAAACAGTTTACTCCTAAATCGGAAGCAGAGCCAGAATGAAAAACATCTTTGTTTCCTGGTTTAGGTCTCTGGCCTCCAAATGCTGCCTATAGGAGCAACTAAAATCAATTCTTTCATCTTAAAGTTTTCACCAGTGTTGTCATCCTTCTGGCAGCGGAAGCCGCTAGGAGCACGGGGCTCTACAGCTGGAGCAAGGAAATCTAACTAGAAAAGCCAAGAAAGCAAATGATATAGGTTCTCAAGCTGGACAGACCAAAATATTTGTCTTTGACGCTTCCTGCATCACCCTGTGCTCTAGGTTTCCTTCTGCAAAACCGGTGTGAATTTCCATTGCACTGAGCTAACGTGAGGGTCAAACAAGGTAGTGTGAAGGTACCCAGCGCAGTGCTGAGCAGATAGGAAGCAACCAGCTCGTGCTAGGGCTCTCTTCCTCCCTCCAGAAATAGAGTAGGTGCTTCCACTTAGAGAGTTTCAGGAGCTAGATCCAGGAATGACTCCAGACTTTTGCTCTTCTAATGAAGGGGCCTAAGCAGCTGAGCTTCTTTTGTGCAGGTAAAAAGGAGTCAGCGGGGACAGGCTGACTCAAAGCAGCCAAGGAAGTGAACTGTCTGTTCCCATACCTGTAAGGATTTAAACCAGAGAAATCTTCCTTTGATTTCTAGGTGAGGAAAAGGGGGTGGCAATCAGTGGAGGCTTGGGACCGCACTGTGCACAAAACTTCAAGTGCCTTGACCTCTCAGCATCCACTCTCGTGGTCCATATTAACTACCTAAATTTTTTCAAAATGTGAGAGAGAGAAGAATTTCCCTTTGATGTGAATACCTAGAACAGGGAGATCTGGGCGCACATCTTTCTAACATGTGTAAGAAGGGTCTTTTTATAAGCTTGAGCTTCTCTCCATCCCATCTCCCACCCCCAGTCAAGTGACACACTGGACTCTAACCTTACCAAGGAGGACCCTTAGTTTGTCTGCCAGGAGAAGTTCTCACCATGCTGGCCACAGTGGGCAAAACCACCCCAGCAAATACAATTTCCACCCTCCTCCTCTCCACCATATAGCGAAGTGCCCGGCCACCCTTTTCCTGCTCTAGGTAAATGCTACAGGAAAATGCAGCTACTTTCAGAAATCATCTCAACCTGAGACAGACAATGATTAGAGGTGGCACCGCTCACTACTGGCAAATAAGCCTGGAGACAAGAAGGGACCCACCTTTTCCCACCTCCCACAGCTATCGATTGTACCCCACATATCCTAACTTCCTGCTGGGTTTTCTGTCCTTGAACTTAATGAACTTAATGGAAGAATGGATAATACAGACTACTTATTGCTATGCATACCTATTATCTGGAACCAGAGTGTGGCAGGGAGAGTTTATCCCATCAACTAAACAAGCTCAGAGTAAGCACTCCCTCCACAGATACCCTGCATCACAGAGGAAGAAACAACCTTCCCCAGCCACAAACCACATCCCTCAACAGTCAGTTTACTGCTAGGAAAATAAATCCCAAGCGCATTACCTGTTAGCAGCAGGTCAGTGGCACCATTTTCTACTCAAATGAGATCTCCTAGGTGAAACAGACTTGAGCAGAGAACATGCTTTATTGAGGAGTAGATATAGAACAGCACATTCTACCACGTGTGGGGAAGGGTTAGCTTCTGTAAAAGGCCTTTACCCCTTAAGAAAAGCCCCAGTGAAGTTGCTTTTGGATGAATTTTAACAGTGACACTGACACTGGCAGGGAGCTGCCACTGAACATGCTTAAAATTAGCTCCCCCCAACCCACAGTGAGTATAAGCCGCGTACAAAGACGACAAGAGAAAGGCACAAACGACCAGAGTTGGGATTGTGGTGAGGGCTCCACATGAAGACAGCGGTGTTGTAGAGACCAAGTTGGAAAGGGTGACATGTCATACATCAAAAGCTGCCCCAAGATAGCAGGTTATAATGGGCTAGAGAGAAATTAGAGGGAGCATCTCTTCCTTCACTTAAACAACACCAAAAATAGGAGACCAGAGAATGGGGGGATGGTGGTAAATCCCAAAAAGGAAATGGAGGAGGAGTTCTTGGAAGGGCATAAGCACTTCAGTCTTAGAGGGAGGGTGAGGCACTGTTGAAAAGGGAAGCAAACCTTGGCAGGGGTGGCCATTCTGCCTTGCTGAGTCATGGGCTGAGACACGGAAGTCATTTTCAATCACTTCTCCAAGGATGTTCAGACAAAAGCAGTGTAACTTATGTGGAAGTACAGGTATGCTATATCAGACTGGTACTGGTGAAAAGGTTTCTGCAGTATAATTAACCAGTTAACATGCAGCATGAAAGGGAGAACTGGAAAGTATTTTGGCACCTGCAAACGTAAAGACGGGCAGGGAGTAAAGAGAAGAAAACATTTACCACTGGGCACTTTCTGGTGAGGCAAAAAGTAGTATTCCATTCCCTTCCACCAAGACGTTGCCCACTGCCCACAGGTGAACTCAAATCCAAATACAGAATCACCACTTCTCCATTCTTTTCTCCATCTCACTCAGATAATGTGCTGTAACCAAGACTAATCCCTGCGAGTCTTCAAAAGTATTTGGCTCGGGGCTTCCCTGGTGGCGCAGTGGTTGAGAGTCCGCCCGCCGATGCAGGGGACGCGGGTTCGTGCCCCGGTCCGGGAAGATCCCACATGTGGCGGAGCGGCTAGGCCCGTGAGCCATGGCTGCTAAGCCTGCGCGTCCGGAGCTTGTGCTCCGCAACGGGAGAGGCCACAACAGTGAGAGGCCTGCGTACCGCAAAAAAAAAGGATTTGGCTCTTGTCAGCCTGATACTGATCAAAAACAGGTCTTTCAGTAAAAATGGAGGAAAAAACTTAAAGTGAGATGAAATCCAAAGGGAAGGGACCCCTCCCAGCACACACACACACTCAGAAGTGTTACCTCTTCCCTGCCCCTCCAAGAACACAGGTAAGGAGTAACTGGGAATGTCCTGGTGGCAGTAACCGTAGTTGGTGGTCTGGTGACTGGGCGGCAAGAAGAAGCACTATTACAAAGTTTAGAAGACACGACACAACCTCATGGGGCCAGAGGAGAGAACCAGTGACTGGACAGGTACAGTACCAAAACAGAACACCTTGGGTCAGTGCTACGAGGGATCTGCACTCAAGTCTAATACAGATCCCATCCAGGCAACCTCACTGAGGCCGAAACAACAGTTCCTCAGAACCAGCGTCTGCAGTGTACACGAAGGTCGGAGCCAGGACAGTCCTGAGGGGGATGGCCTTCCCAAAGGATACTGTACTTGCCAATCACAAGAGCAACAGAAATGACAGACAGATCCCTAGGGTACGGATTCCTACTGCTGGGGTTCGCTGGCTCGGAGTAACCGGTCACTTTAAGTGCCCTTGGGAGGGGTCCATTTTAAACAGCTTGGATCCATGGTTTTATTGGAGTTGGATCTTTTGGCCTCTTTGGCTATCCACTCATCAATCAGGTCCTGAGAGAGAACAATGGGAACAATTATTATATACGTTCAACTAAAACATGTTTGTAAGTGGATTCCAAAATGATTATTAGCAAAGAAGAAATGGCCAAAGATTTAATAATATACTAAGGTGTGAGACAGGTATATAAAAAAAAATTATCTTTTGATTTACCTAGTGCTCTCCTACCTAATCCATTTCTTCTTACTATGCCTTCGGTAAGACCTGAAAATCATTATTCATATTCCATCAGTAAACGTTATAAGTCAACTTAAAAAATTTTTAAATTGGCATGAGTTGAGATGGCATTTGTTAAAGGAATTTAAAACCACTTCCACAGGCCCTGGAGTTTATGAAGATTCTCCTCCACAGATGGGCACTCTTCATCCGATCTAAGAAAATCATCAAAGGATAGAAGTACGACTGTGCGACATAAAGCTGCTTAACTGGAGCTGCTTACGCGTCTGCCATCAAATCTGAGACAGGAGCTTACGATAAGCCTAACGGTGAGACCAAGTAAAGGATGCGTAGAGTCAGACTCCTTTAAGGGAAGGTTACCTGTAAGGTGTGAGGGCCCCACTTTGCTCTGCTAGGCCTCAAGGGACATTAAGCAATGAGCAAGAGGCTGAGAGTAACTTTACCTGTCTCTTCAAAACTAGGTGTTTTCCTTTCCAATATTTGAGCATCTGAAGGGCTTGCAGAGTGCTGACAATGTCCACAGGATTCACAGCTGTCTCCTGGCTAATTTCTGAAACAGAAGAGCTATTGAGAACTTGGCCAAAATGTAGACACCACCCCCGCCCTGCCCCACCAAGGCCCCCTTTGCCTTGGAGTAAATCTAGACGCAGACTCCAAATGTTTGGAATCTTCACTACTTGACCCAAGCTGTTCAGAAGAAATTTACAAAGCATTCATTTGACCAGTTAAAATAACTACAGAAGATGGATATTACAGCAGGAAACCACTTGGCCCCTATAGAAATCAAGGTCAAAGACAGACCAAACTAAATTCTCCCATCCTCACAAATACTCAGGGATGTTAGAAGTTCCTGTGTGTGCCAAAAGACTTGAAGTTTTTCTTCTTTCTTGACTTTTGTGGAGAATTAAAGTGTCAGCAACCTGAGATTTGAGACGCAATAACGAATGTCTGAATAAAACCGATCTATAAAACACATCTTCAGACTTCCCTGGTGGCGCAGTGGTTAGGAATCAGCCTGCCAAGGCAGGGGACACGGGTTCGAGTCCTGGTCCGGGAAGATTCCACATGCGGCAGAGCAACTAAGCCCGTGTGCCACAACTACTGAGCCTGCACTCTGGGGCCCGCGAGCCACAACTACTGAAGCCCATGCTGTGCTCCGCAACGGGAGAAGCCACTGCAATTAGAGGCCGCGCACCACAATGAAGAGTAAGCCCCCGCTCACCTCAACTAGAGGGAGCCTGTGTGCAGCAACGAAGACCCAACACAGCCAAAAATAAGTAAATAAATAAAGTTCAAAACTCAAAAAAAAAAATTAAAAAAACAAAAAACCCCCACCACATTTTCTCTGTAAGAAACCCAATCATATAATCAGTCCCAAGAAACCAAATCATATAATCAGTCCCAAGGGCCAAACACTCTGGAATCCTTAGGTACCTTTAGTGAGTGGTCCACATTAGTGGGCCTTCTGCTCTCATATTCAGATGAAACACAGAATGGGGTTATTTTCTTTGCAGGTTACAAAGCATGAACAGGGCCAAATAGAAAAGTCAGAATATTCAGTGGAACTAACATCTTGAGTAACAACCATTTTCTAAGAGTCAAAAACCAACCTTTGATAGAAATCTCTTTGCCTTGGAAATTATGCAGGTAACGAAGAAGCACTTCTTTCCAGTAACTGCGGTAGCTTATGAGCCCCAGATCTGAGAGTGGACGCTCTGGGGAGCCAACTTTTTCTTCCACTTTGGAAAGCAAATAACCTGCCAGGGAACAATACAGACACTGTATCTCATCCTAGTAAGAACAATGTACCAACAAGGAAAAAGATTTAAGGAGCAGAGTCTGCTTTGCAATATCAATTATAAAATAGGTGTTACCTATTCAAAGATATACAATCCCCTCAACCCTTAGTGGATTATGCCATTTCCTGATTCATCTCTTACCAGGTGGCTTAAAAAAAAAAAAAGGGGGGGGGCTCCCCTGGTGGCGCAGTGGTTGAGAGTCCACCTGCCGATGCAGGGGACACGGGTTTGTGCCCCGGTCCGGGAAGATTCCACATGCCACGGAGCGGCTGGGCCCGTGAGCCATGGCCGCTGAGCCTGTGTGTCCAGAGCCTGTGCTCCGCAACGGGAGAGGCCACAACAGTGAGAGGACCACGTACCGCAAAAAAAAAAAAAAAAAAAAAAAAAAAATCACAAAGCTGTTTCTAAGAATTCTAATTTGACTAAAATATGTCATGTTACAGTGAATATCGAATAAAGCACGGTTGAATCTCATTATTTACAGTAGTTATATTCTACAAAGTCACAGTGAACACTGAATTAGCGAATATTGAACCACTGCTCTTAGGGGAGATACAGGGTTAGGTTCCTGTGGGCTGCTGGTCACATTTTTGTCAACCAATCAATACATAACCTCGTTTTATGTGCTTCTGTTTAAAAACACCTATTTAATACATATCATTGATTCATTAACAGTGAACTAACAGCCAACAGCACAATAATGTATGCCTGAATAAAACCTATCTATAAAACACACTTTCTCTGTAAGGCACATCACAGCCTTCCCAGACAGTACTTCAGCACTACACTTAGGGACCATTTAAAATCAGCAACAGTGAATTCCCTGGCAGTCCAGTAGTTGGGACTCCACGCTTTCACTGCCAAGGGCCCAGGTTCAATCCCTTGTTGGGGAACTAACATCCCATAAGCTGTGTGGCGCAGCCAAAAAAAAAAAGAAAAGAAAATCAATAACAAAAAGCACAAAAATATGGGGACTTCCCTGGTGGTCCAGCGGTTAAGACTCCACGTTCCCAATGCAGGGGGCCCAGGTTTGATTCCTGGTCAGGGAACTAGATTCCGCATGCATGCCGCAACTAAAGGTCCGCACGCCACAACGAAGATCTCGCACGAGGCAATGAAGATCCTGCACAACTAAGGCCTGGCGCAGCCACATAAATAAATATTTTTAAAAAGGCACAAAACTATGAATGACATGGCACTAATAGACCATGAAAAGGACACTGGCTTAAACACAGAGAGCCGAAACAAGGCACCTTGTTTAACTTCATCTGGGAATGCATGGTGACTTTTTTTTTTTTTGCTGCCATGGGCATGTTGGTTGATTTTGGGCTTATGAATAAATTTTAATGAGTGGGCAAATTCCCAAATACAGAATCCATGATTAATAAGACGACTGCCTCTAGACAAAAGCTTACAAAACTAAAATTCCTAACACCCAAGAACAAATTTGAAGCCTTATGCATGTATGTGCTGTCGGTAAGTCTCAAACTGGGGTAATCCTAAAGAGCTTACTTTACTATCCTCTATATCTCCCACCGTTAGGTACCAACTCAGGGTCCTGTATTCATTTGAGTGTTCAATGTGTATCAGGCCAACTGACAATGTTCAGATTTCTTCCACTTACTCATTCACTTAATGCCAGTGTAATTCCACTACATGCCAGGAACTGTATAGATAGATCACAGGACAAAAAGACAAACAACAATATTCACATGGTCCCTGCTTGTAGAACTTATGACTTTCCTGTTTCACTTACTGAAATCAATGAGCATCTTGCCATAGCCCTGTCTCATGTACTGAGGCATGGTAAGGATACAGGATACATTGTAGTTGAGGAATGAATTCTTTTCCTAAAATCAAGAGCAAACAGATGAGTGGGTCATGAGAATTTGGAACCAAAGGTATCAGCAGTCCCACAGATACAAAACAAGGTTGCCTGCAAAATATATGCTAACTAGTCCTGAGGAGTGGCTGTCAGGCTCACAGCTGGTACATCCACACCCTTTATGATGATCCCAGGGTTTCCCTAGCTCTAAGATTTCCAGTCTCATCTTAAGGGGGCTGACTCTGGGTTCCTTACAGGCACAGAGCAAGGCAAGAAGGTTTAGAACACTGAGTCAGTCTAGAGCAGCCCTCTTTAAAAGCAGTATTTCAAAAGAGTGTTGCCTACTGGAGAAGGGAGGGAATCCAAACAGTAAGTCCCCATTCTGGAAGGGGGTCAAAACACAATTAAATCACATACCGCATGATTCCATTTATGTGAAATGTCCAGAACAGGCAAACTTATAGAGACGGTGGGGCTGGGAGGGAATGAGTGGAAATGGGGAGTGACTACTTATGGGTATGGGGTTTCTTACTGGGGTAACAAAAACTGACTGTGGTGACTGCCAGGTGGTTGCACAGCTCTGTGAACATGCTAGAAACCACTGCACCATATACTTTAAAGGAGTGAACTGTACGGTAGGGGAATTACATTTCAATAAAGTTGTTACATTAAAAAGTCATAAGCAAAATCTGGCCTTGAGTCTTTAAAGGCACGGTGGCGTTATCAACTGAAGGAACCCAGCTAGAAAACCAGGCAAAAGGAACATATTCCTGGTTTGAAGCTAATAACACAGAGAAGAGCAAAGCCAGGAGAGCTGGTTGGCTTGACTACAAGATGTGGGCTTGTGGGTTAGTAGGCAGGGCCCTGGCCATTAATTAATGGGCAGCTTCAATGCACAAGTCCAGAAATGAATAAATCAGAAGCTTTTAATAAAGAATTGCACATTTTCATTAAATAATCTTTGATACGTGGATTTCTACCCCACCCCCCGCCACCCTTTAAGAGAAGGGCTGTCATCATTGCCCAGGGAACTGCCTCTTTCTGGCAGTGATCTGAGTCACCACATGCCAACATCAGTCACCCTGCTCTGGTCATCAGCTTCTTAATCTCCAGACCCTGCTGACCTTGGAAAAATATCCAATCAGGTGACAACCAGTGTTGTCTGCTTCTGTCATAACATAGAACAGGAAGGGCTCCACATCGTAATATAATGTCTTGTGGTCCAGGAAAAGCTTGGCCAACAGGCACAGGTTTTGGCAGTAGATCTGGAAGTAGAGAAACAACGTTTATGTGTGGGCCAGTGATTCTTATACTTATCAGATAAAGGCCTAAAATTTAAAGATCATACCATTATTGTTAATGAAGCAGAAATTGTGTATTTTGGCCAATAGAAGAGTTCTATCTTCTTTACAAGGTGAGATGGAGATAAAACAAATTTCTGAAACCTGTGAATGTACAACACTTTCACCCCTTTTTCTGATGTCAGCACATAAAACAAATTTCTGAAACCTGTGAATGTACAACACTTTCACCCCTTTTTCTGATGTCAGCACTTTTTACCTTGTTTTTCTTGCCATCCACTTCAAACACAGAGATTGAACCTTTGCGATATATCTCATCTCCGGGTGGGTGTTTCCACACACACTTAGCCTGCAAGAGAATGGAATTCACATCAGAGAAACAAACCTTCCCAGTAAGAATACTGCTCAAAAGGGAAAAGGAATCACAGGTCAAATTTAGTTAGCTGAGACGGACAGGTGGACAAACCTGAGAACATACAGCAAAACAGATTTTCTTTTTAGTGAAACAAATAAAGGTTGCTAAAGTCACTGCAATATATTTATGGTATTTTTATAGCAGTTTGGAACAGGTTTTCTGGATTATATTCTGGCACTGTTCCAACCCAGGAGATTGAAACCATCTATCACGTAAAAGCAAGATAGATTTAAAAAAATACCCCTAGCTTATTATAAAATGCCTTGTGCCAACAGGAGATTCTTAAGCAGCTTATTTCCGCAGCTGAGAGTTGCTAGGTAAAGGTACTCTCACCTTTACCAGAAACTTCTCATTACCACCTAAACCATTATGGTCTTCTTTTTTTCAGATTAGAAAACAGACCCAGTGATAAAAACCATGCCCCCCTCTCCAAGTGTTCCGTTTGTTATACTGTAATGAAATAGGAGCATGTCCTTCTGTGGCTTAAAAAAAAAAAAAAAAAAAAAAGGCAAGGAAGCCTGGTTGAGCAGCAGAAAGCAGGGGGAGCGGAGGAGGGAGGAAGACAGGACAACGGACACTGACTTGGCCACAAGGGGGCACAAGGTACTACTTTCCTCACCCTCAATTGCTAATAGATTTAATGCAGCCGGGAAGCCACTGCCGTAAATGGGTGAATTTTTAAAAGGTTTTATGTAAAATACTTTAAAAAATATCATTTAAAAGGCATATGTATATGGAATATTTTCTTATTAAATTTTATTGTGACTCTTTCGGTCAACTCAAGAATCATGCCCCAATTTGTCACATGTAAGGCCACATATGCAGTAACTGGTCTTGTTTCAAGAAAGCTCCACCTGTAGTTTGTTCCTATCTCCACCTCTCTATTCATGTTGGCTTTTCCCAACAATAAGCAAATGAACAACAATTATCTGTTCAGAAACAGAAGCCAAACTGTTGGCCAAATGGCCAAAGAAAGCCCATTTCTGTGATTATGCCTAAAGCAATAGGAATCTTCAGACGTGTGAACTAAAATAAGTTTTTATTTCATGAAATTCAATTTTTGTAACTCATATAATACAGTAGAGAACCTCAAACATTCAGAATGTTTACTTGATCCTCAGATTTATCTAGGCCCTTTGTTTTCTCCCCCTACTACTATTTCTTGCCTTTTAGCTACTTCATTGGTTAGTGCCACTAAATAAACAGAAACAAAAAGAAAAAGGGCATAAATAGTAAGCAGTTCATATCAGTAAAAATACCAGTCTTTCACATAGCAAACCCTAAATGAGGTTATCTCCATGGTCTTCAATCACGGAGTCCAGTCCTCACTCATCACCCACCTGCCCTCCCTCCCGCCCCCCTCCCCACATCCTTTGCCACCCAGTCTAGTGGGAGCCTAGTGGGCTGGAGTCTAGAGGGCTTAATTAGCAGTGGCAGTTCTGGGCCACTACGTACTCCAGAGTTGGGAACACCAAAAAGCAGTTATCACCAAACTGGGGAGAAGAGTCTTATGACAGAAATCATAGGAAGTCTGGGTTATAGATTCTCAGCATGTGGAAATCCTGGGAAATAAAGACGTAAGGGGAAGGGAAAAGAGACACCCTAAAAGGCCTTAGAGCCACAATTATGTTGTGACTATGGAAATAAGAAAAAAGATAGGTTTCCCCACCTGACAGACTAATCTCCACCCCTGACCCTTCCCCATCCCTGCTCCATGGCAGAAATTCCCTTTAAGACAAGACTTTTCATTCCATAACTAAGGAAAGAAAAATGGCTTAAAACTGCAAAATACCTAGTGAGCACATCTGTCAACAATAAAATCAGATGAAAGTGTTTATTCCTATTTTCACAGGAATAAGACCTTTCAGAAACCAGAAAACACTAAGCAACTCAAGGGAGGGGCTGACCTAAGGACCCATTCTGTTAATTTCATAATTTGTCTTTCTTAAGCAAGTGTTAATTTAACACACATTTATGGGGCATTAACTGCCCATGCTAGCTGCTAGGGATACAAAAGGTGAGTCACGTCCCATTTCTGTCTAATGAAGGTCTATCTAATGAAGTCCATTTATTTTCATCTAGTTGAGACATAGAAAAACTGTGGGCAGAGGTAATTCACATCCCAAGGGAGAAACAGACAAGAGCAGGCAGCAAGAAAAAAGACAGGGAGATGAGTATGACAGGATGTGGTTAAGGGCCACCCAGGCTTGCCACAGGCTGTATATCCCGACTCTGAAATGTGGCTTTCAATTTCCTGTGCCTTCCTCCCATTTCTGTGGACCACTTAGAGGTGCTTAGATAGATGTCTAAATCTAGAGATCCCACAGCTTATCACCACCACGGTCATGGACCCCCAAACAACTTACCATGTGTCGGCGGAGTATTGTTTGGCTCTTCATGTATTTTAAACAGAATTCACACATGTAAAGACGTCCCAGTCGCGCATATTCCTCAGGATAGGGAGAATGGTACCACGTATCAAGCTCATAGCGACCAAAAGCAATTGTTTTAATCATGTTGCTCCCCTCTGTGATTTGGCCTTGCAGCCTTAACTTCTCCTATTGTAGACAAGAAATTAAGTCAAAGGAGGATTAGAATTGATCATTTCTGTTGTTGTTAAGCTGTGTGCACGCCACCATGCTAGGCTATGAGAAAAAAAAAATCAGATTTGGCTTCTATCTCACGAGAAACTTGCACTGAAGAGAACTACAGGAGCATAGATAACCAGAGCTAGGAAGCTTACAGAAAATGTAACTGTCTGCACTGCCCAGAGCACAGACCTCAGTAGTGGCTTTTCTCTGCTCCCTGCCACACTCTGGGCCTCATCTCCTGAACAAGTCCTTTGTAAAATTTTATTTTTACCAGCCAGAACCAAACTGAATGATAAAAGGCAAATCTATCACAAATACTCCCTACACCTTTACGAAACATTCTAAAACTAAAGATTCTCTAGAATGTGCTTTACATATCTGCAGCTTTTATAAAGCTGCGAGGATCTTCATGACATACAGCCATGGCAGCCAACCTCTCAACTTAGGTCCTTTAAAAAATATTTTTGAAAGAGGGATGATGCTTTAATTCTGGAACCTAAAGCTAGAAAGTAGAAGATATTTTTGGATGCCTGTGCCCACTCAGCGGCTATGAGTTGGCTACAGAAATAATTTTGAATAACCAGGTAAAGAGTTGTGAAAAGCTGACCTAGGAAATGCTCTGTTCCAGGGTAGGACAGAGAAAACCAACAGCAGCAACCCAGCCTAGCCAAGGGCAGCTACCAAACCCTGCCTCCCACAAAACTTTCAACAAGTCTATTCGAGAATTTTTAAATAAAGTATTCAATATAATTTTTTTAAAGAGGAAGATGAAATTCACTTTACAAGCTAAATTTCCTTGAAGACATTCAATTCATTAAATCCGAGGTAAACTCAATCACAATTCTTTTTTTTGGCAGCACCGTGCATCATGCGGGATCTTAGTTCCCAGACCAGGGATCAAACCCATGCCCCCTCCAGTGGAAGCACAGAGTCTTAACCACTGGACCACCAGGCAAGACCCCTCAATCACAATTTTCTTAAAGCAAAACTGTTGAAAATTCTGCCTAGGGAATCAAAACTAAATGGTAACTATAAATAAAAATCAGAAGAGGAAACCAACTTAATACATGAAACTAAGCTGTGTCAAAGAATAAATTTCAAATATCTGACAACAACTGTGTCCATTATTCCTCTTCACCGTTCTCTTTATTCTTTTATAACTGTAATGAAGGGCTGAGGCAACCCTGCAAAGAGGAGTTCCTGTTTAGGTTAAGAGGACAACAGAGAGGGGTTATCTCCCAGTCTAGAGGTTCTCGGAATTGCAAATGACCCACCTGACACAAAGGGATACCTGTTGTTTTACCCAGCTAACCACCGCCACAAAACAGGTCCTTCCAGGAGTTGAGGTGGGGAGGAAAAACTTTAAGGGACGAGGGAAGGGAGGAGGGGTAATTAATTTTAAATATGAATGGGAAGGAAGAAAGTCTCAAATAAGGATGGCTGGGGGAAGGGGAAAGAGTCAACCAGCAAGGTATATTTAATCCCCATCAAATTGACTGCTAATCATTTTTCTTGGCAGTTCCAAGTGCCCCTCACAAGTGGTCCTCAGCTTGGAGGTTTTACTACTCACCAGATCCTCTGAAGCCCGGGCTTGTGCTCTTCGGAAAAGATCCAAGTCATACTCGCTAGTCAGGTTTTCCAAAAGAGGTTCCCGAGTGTTCCCATAGGTCTGCCTGTGTTCCTAGGAAAATAACCAGAGCGTGATACTCTCTGCTTCTAAGAACTTAATCTATTGCATTTCAATGGATGCCAACCAGGGGGCCAAGAACAACCATAAGCTATTTATTTAGTGCCTACTATTTGCTAGGCATTATACTAGGCACTAGGGATTGAGTACAAAATAAACTATTTATCAGACAGGTTAATTCCAGAAGACACCCACTATCCACCCTAGTGAACCTGGAAAGGAAATGCTCTTATAATCTCTCCAAAAGTGAGTTTCATTCTTTGGAACTCTATGCTTCCATTTCTTTCTCTGAAAATGTGCGTGACAATACAAAGAAATAAAATATAACAAACCCAAAGGCGCTACCAATTCCTAGAATCCTAAAATCTGGACGGAACCTTGGTGGATACTCCCCATTTAAAAACAAAACCAAATAAAAACTAGAATCTCTACGCTTTCGAGTCTAAGATTTTAGACTGAATAAAACCTGCAGGTAGGAAGGGGCAGCTGAACTAAGCAGTCTTTTGTAAACTCTTTCACTTGAACTGCGGCAGCACCTACCACTGCACGATCCACCGAAGGTACCATAATGCTCCTACTTTAGAACTCCAGCCCAAGTGCACTGGAAAAAAGGCTGGCCTCTGAGAAATGTTTTACTCAATATTAAGCAAGAACAAGGGACAGAACAGACATAGAAAATTAGAATCATAGAAATAATCCAGTTTTAAATAAGTAACAAATCTTACCATGGCAGTCACTACACAAATATCCTTTCACAAGAAAGAAATTCCACAGGGGAAACTTCGCTTTTAACCTTTGATTCTAGCCCTTCCCACTCCGTCCTAGACTCCTCCTCCTACCCAGAGAACGGAAGATAATGGTTGTTAAGAGGAGCAGATGGCTCATCCCAGGAAGAACTCAGTAGACTTCGCTCATATATTATCATATGAAGAAACCACTCACCAGCATCTATTAAAATTTCTTCCGCTTAATCTGAAATTAAAATTTCTTCCGCTTAATCTGGGCCCATCTGATGGATATCTTTTTAAATTTGGGCTGTTATCTAATACTTGGGTTTTAAGTATAAGTTATTTCTTCTAGTTTCATGAATTTTTTTTAAAAAAGCTTTAAAAAATCCTATCCAGCATTTTTACCAGGAAGGTTCAGTCCAAATAACCTAGCCCAAACTAGTGGAAAGCAAATGTAAGGTAAATTTCAGGAGGTTTTATTTCAGACACTCTCTCTACCTGTATGATTCTGGGAAAATTACCTCTCTAAATCTCAGTTTCCCATCTATAAAACAGGTGAAATACCATCCATCTTTGTAACAAAGGTTATGGGAGCAACATAATCACAGTGCCTACCTAGCACATAAGCACTCAATACATGGTGTTATCGTATTATTACACCTCTACCCAACTTGTAGATAAAAACACTGAACAAGACAGAGGGGAAGCATACAACTTCCCCCCCCACAGCCCATTTCTAGAGCCTTCCCTCTCTCTACAAACCCAGCACAGTCTGGAGCAGGTGTTTAGCTACAAACTCACCCCACAGCGTCCACACATCTCAAATTGGACCATCTCCATTTACTCGTAAGGGTATCATTTCTAAGACAGTGATGACTACCACACTGTCTTAAAAATGATACCCTTATGAGTAAATGGAGATGGTAGTAAATTTGCTACAAAAGCAAATACATAGTTGGGCATATTTCTGTCTTAATGAAGCCATGCTAAGTATTCACAAACCATACTTTTAATAATCTATTCTAATGACTAAGTAAACAAAGAGTCCAACTCCATGAAAAAATAAAAATACACATCAGAAGAAGATGCCAAAACATTAACAGTGGTTTATATCTGGGAGGGTGATTTTTTTTTAATTTTTCTTTTCTATAGTTGGTATTTTCAAAGTAAACGCTATGAAGATATTTATAATAAATCTTTACTTAAAAATTAATATTTTGTGCAAAAAAATTTTGGAAGAATTTTTAATAAAACGGGGAAATCAGCTTAAGATAGGTAAATGAAAACACAGAATTAAAAGCTGTACTTATAATAATATCCAAACTATGTAAATAAGGCATTGTAAAAAGCTAGAAAGTTTTATCTCAAAATGCTAGCTTATTTTTAGGTTATTTTTAGGTAGTAGGATTAGTGTTTATTTCTGAATACTTTCCTTAATTTTTCTATATTTTTTCTATATTTCTTTATTTTTTATTACAAACGTGCACTACTTTTAAAACTAGAAAAATAAATTAAAACACTACAAAAAGACCTATTATACAATGTATCACCCAATTAATACCTTTTATCATGGAGGTATTTTATTCTTCCATTAAAGGAAATGCACTACTGCTTAGCTTGAATACTCTTCCTTACACAGACATCTCCAACATCATGGTATTTGTTCGAGCGGGTAAATTTAACCTTTTAAACCTAAAGTGAGGTTTACAAACTAAATGATTCAATTTTTTTTCATCTAAATTCTAACAGTATTTTGTTTGTCGAGGACTCCCAGTTCCATTCTTATTGGGGAATTATATATAGTGAACTCTGCCAGAGTCCTGTTACTTACAGAGCATACCAAATGGCAAATGTGAAAAGCAGAATCTCAGTAACCAAAAGGAATCAAATGTGATAGCAAGAGTTCATGGTAATTAAATATTTAACTTTTTCTCACCATATATTTCTCTTTCTGTTCTTTGCTCAGCCCAGAATTTCTTTTCTTCCTGAGTTCAGCAACCTTTTCCTTATATCGCAACTGCCTCTCTGTTGGTGCCTAAAAAGGAGAAAATTGAGAAGTTAGCTAGAAAACTCATTATGTAATTAAGTTTCTAAATGAAAGTAACGTACACCAAAGAAGGGGTGGGGGTGCGGGGGTGGGACGCCAGATGCATTACGGGCACCCTGTGAATAATGCGGTAATTTTAAAACTCTAAATGGGGTTCCCTCATCACCTAGAACACTACCCTGTCAGTTAATACGAGCTCAGGAAATGTATAATACCTTAATATTGATCCAAACAGAATATAAACTAAGGATGGAAGCAACGGGGATAAAAGATCATTTCAATTCAATAGGCATTTACTGAATGCTTACAGTTTTCCAAGTACTGATACGAAAATGAATAAAAATTTAAAAACTGATTTAGAACCCAAGATAGACAATGAAGACAAGTGTAGAGTGCTTTTACCTGCCAAGCACTGGGAACAGGTACTTTACATGCATAATTTAGCTGACTACACTGCCAGGTAGGTATTATTCAAGGAAATAAAAGTTTAGGGAGGTTAGCTGACCTGCCCAAGACCACACAGCTAGAGTAACAGAATCGCCGTATTCAAATCCAGATCTGTTTGGCTCCAAAGTCAAACTTCTCCCTCATCACCGTGCCTCCTCTGCTATCCACTTATAATCTAACCACAGAAACAGACATCCATATGATGAGCTATGTGTATATAATATGTGCCAAAGGCTAAACTTACAATCTGAGAACATTGCAAATAGGAATACATGAGGAAGAAATTCATTAATGGTAGAAGATTTGGGAAGAATTCCTACAACAGCTAAGAGTTGCACAAGGCCTTGAAGGAGAAACACAATCTATTCTTGGTATAAGTATAGAGTTCTAGGGAGAAAAACAGCAAGAGAAAGACCAAAGGCATTCAGGGGGAACAAGGAATTAAATGTAATCAATGGGCATGAATGTTCAGAGAGGCAGAAAGATTAGAGCGAAGCACCATCTTGGAATCCAACAGAAAAGAGAAGTAGAAGAAAACTGACATAAACAACAAGCGTCAAATGCTAAGGAAGTTACTGGTGACATTGGAAACATACCACCAGAGCAGAGGGGCCTGGAAGTAAATTATAATGGGTTAGAAAATGGATGCAAATAAGGAAATAGAGCAGCAAGTATAATCTTTCAAATAATCAAGATCACCTATTATTACTAATATTATTACTACCATTATTATTATTATTCTAGGTAGCACGATTCCTTCTTTTATAAGGTAGAAGTTTTTTTCTTGAAAATTCACTATTTGGAAAAAGTACGATTCTAAGTTTATGACCGAAGACCAGTTATCCAGACACAGCATAGAAAACGAGGCATGGATATACCTAAAGACCATGACAGAGCGGAGGAGATCCAAGACTTGGCTCTCCAACTGTAAATGGCCAGAGCTTTAACAAGGCCCGTACCTGGTGCCTGGTTGCATGCCTGTTGTTGTCATCTTGCCTGTGGGACAGCATCCTTTCTTCTATCTGCTTATCCCGGCTCTGTGCTCTCACCTGCAACCATCAACAACGTCAATCAATCCACCTGCCTCTAAGACTATGTTTACTTAAAGTGCAAGAATACAATAGTAATCCCTTGAATTTACACTGTACTTTTACTTTCAAAGGATCTTCACATTTAGTATCACAATCTCTATAAGAAATAGATACGGCAAGCTTCACATTCTGTTTTCTCAGCCATTATCCGAGAATCAGAGAAGTGAAATTACAGCTAGGTGGTGGTAAAGCTAAGATTTTAAGTAAGTCTGATGACTCTGAGCCTCTGTGCTCATTCCACTGCGCAACAGTATGTGTGAGGAAGTGCGAGAACAGAGTAAAGAAGTACAAAGAAAAGGTTAGATACTTGGGATCAAGTCTACAGAGAAACTTAACTCTGTAGTTATGACCTTAGACAAATCACATTAGCTCTCCAAGTCTCAAATTCATCTTCTGGGCAGTGAGGACTCATATCCAACTCCCTATTCTACGTCAACACTAAAACTCAGCACGGTCAAAACACAGTGACTGACACTCTCCCACAAATCCGCTCCACCCCAAATCTTCCCTGTAGCAATAAATAGCAACACTTTCTAAACAACTGATCAGGTCAAAAACTTGAACGTCACGCTTGACTGTTCTCTTTCTCTCCCACCTCACAATGAATTCATCAGCAACTCTATCAGGCTGCCCCCCTCCAAAACATATCCTGAGTCCAACCAATTCTGACCATCTCCACTGACAATGACACTAAACCAGGCCGCCATCTACTGCCTAAGCCTCAGACACAGCCTACCTACCCTTTGTCAACTCTTGCCCCCTCCAGTCCACTCTCCACATACCAGCAAGCTGTGATTTTTAAACAGTGTTTGTGATACTACACCACGCCTCTGTTAAAGCCCTTCGAATGCCTCCCGCGGCCATCAGAACACAAACATACCCCTTTTGCCAAGGCCTACAGGTCCTTCGTGATATGGATCCTGCTTCTTCATTTCCCATCACATTCCAGCCACACTGGCCTACTTTCCACCCTTCAAATGCAACCGTTTATCCCTGTCTCACGGCCTTTGTGTTTGCCCATACTTCTCCTCAGGACCTAGACACAACTAACTGCCTCTTTGCCATCACCCATGGCTCAGATAAAATGTCTTTCTCCACAGCCCAAGGAAAAGCACGGCCATACCCTGTCACCCCCAAAACAGTCACTCTGTTTAACCTTTTCATTTCTCACAACATTACCACTACACGAAATTCTTAATTGCTTACTAATTTTATATGTTGATTTTGCCTTCCCCCATGAAAATGTAAACTCATTGAATTCAGTCTTTTGACTGAACATAAAATGGTAATATCACTGATTGCAATCATTTACTGGAAAACTCAGAGCAATTCTGTACATGCAAGTACTTTAAAAACTCTGGGTTTTTAGTAAATGTGAGGAATTAGCCTAATCTTTCCATTTGGGATTCTAAATGTAATAAAAGTATGTATCTTTCAGAAATTCTCCTGATCCTCACAAGCACATGGTCCAGTAGTAAAGACGGATTATGCTGAGCCTGATTCCCCTTGTGAAAAAGAGCACAAAACAGGAAAGTACAGGAAATGCGTTCCTTTTTTCAGAATTTTCTTCCCCACACTGAAAATTTTCTTTTTCTTTTTTTTTTTTTTTGCGGTACGCGGGCCTCTCGCTGTTGTGGCCTCTCCCGTTGCGGAGCACAGGCTCCGGACGCGCAGGCTTAGCGGCTACGGCTCAAGGGCCCAGCCGCTCCGCGGCATGTGGGATCCTCCCGGACCGGGGCACGAACCCGTGTCCCCTGCATCGGCAGGTGGACTCTCAACCACTGCGCCACCAGGGAAGCCCTCTTTTTCTTTTTTAAAAATAAATTGCTTAAGGCAACATGTTCATACTGCTATCAGCCAACAATTTAAAAAGTTATACCTTAAGAAGACTTTTATGTAAAACCATCCATAGTATCAGATCGTTATATTTAAAGACAAGTGGTAACGGACAACTCTCAAAAACCAGAGTTCACAGTTATTTTCAGAGAAAGAAGCACCTAATGACTTGTCAGCTTCTGATGCAGATGTTGGAAGAGCTGTTCCTGTTTTGATCTGGTCTCACACTAATGGGAAGATAATGGGAAGACCTACCACTTCTACAGAGAGCAGAAGAAACTGCCTTGCTTATATTAGAGATCTGGGATGAGGGAAGGGAAGAGTGAGTATCCACAACCTCAAAATCCACGTGAGCACTGGAAGTATACTACTCTGCTGAAAGACTAAACACAACACAGAACGGAACTTTCCCTCCTGTGGTCTACTTGTAAATAAGAGAACATATTTCTGAATCGGGGAGAATTAATGTTAGCTGGGGAATCTCATTTTTCTCAGGAGGAAACTGGCCCAAACAGGAATAAACCTGTTATCCTGGCCTTCTTAGCAAAATAACAACTACAAAAACGACAATTAATACTTTGGTCTAACCAACTTGGGTAACCTGTCCAAATACTACCTGAGCAGTGCATTTAATTAGTAACATTTTCAACTCCTGCTTGCCCATAATTAGTTTCTTGGTTCCTCCTTGGTAGCAACAACCCATAGAGAAACATACAAAATAGGATCTTAGGCTCTACTCCTAAATCCATTATTCCAAACCCCAAAGGTTATTCAGAACTATATTTTTCAAGAATGTAAGACAAGAATTAGCCAAGAGTAGGTGTGATTGAGAGTAACAAAAAGAAAAGTATTTCACAGAAACAGACAAAGAAAGAGGAAAAGAATTTTGAAAAATTTTTAAAAAGCAAAATGTCCTCATAGATTTATAAGAAGAGAAACTAATGCATAAATATTGAGATCACATGCTTATGCAAATTATTCCTTAGTGGAAAAGGTCCCTAGCAATCTTTGAAGATAATTTTCAACAGAAAATATCAAAGCACTTGGAGGATGATGTTCCAAATATTCCATAGATAATCTCATTGTTAATTTCTCTCAAAACACTCACTACGTAGAATAATTCATTTGTCTGTTTTTTTTTTTAAACACAGTTGTTTTTTATGTTTCCTCCTCTAGAATGTAAGAACATGGACCTTGCCCATTTTGTTCACACTGTATCCCCATTGTTTAGCAAAGTACCTGGCAAATGGTAAGCACTCAGTAAGTATATGTTGAATAAATGACAATACAATTACCTTGCATTCATCAGCTGAGAGATTATGATAGAGAGGGCATCCTGATATAGAGAAATGTCTCTCGTGTTTTCCTGTAAGGTGTCCTGTTAAAGGAGGAAAAAACTTAATCTCAAGATGAAAGATTTAAGCTTGTAAAGTCATATTTTTCTCTACCTTTTTTTACGGTATCATTTTATCACATACATGTCTGATTACAGATTAAATCCATCAAAGGTAAGTGCTGTTAGGGTCATAACTTGCACCCACAATAATTTTTTTTCTTCCACAGGTTGGATCTAGCAATCTTTGAACACACTTGCATATATTCAGTATAAATTATAGTTCCTTCTTTTCTGATAATTCTTTCTCAAATTCCAAAATGTCACTAAGCCCATAAACTTATTTAAAAGGCACAAAGTTGGGCTTCCCTGGTGGCGCAGTGGTTAAGAATCCGCCTGCCAATGCAGAGGACGCGGGTTCGAGCCCTGGTCCGGGAAGATCCCACATGCCGCAGAGCAACTGAGCCCGTGTGCCACAACTACTGAGTGTGTGCTCTACAACCCACGAGCCACAACTACTGAAGCCCGTGCGCCTAGAGCCTGTGCTCCGCAACAAGAGAAGCCACTGCAATGAGAAGCTCGCATACCACAAGGAAGAGTAGCCCCTGCTCACCGCAACTAGAGAAAGCCTGCGCACAGCAACGAAGACCCAATGCAGCCAAAAATAAATAAAATAAACCAATTTAAATAAGTAAATAAGAATAAAAAGCACAAAGTTACAAGCAAGAATATTTTCTTTTGGTGGAATTTAACTTTCCTATGCTAAACTGATCAAGTCATACGTATAGTAAGTACTTTCCTTTCTGTTATGCAATGTTATCCAATCTGAATGGAACTTTTTTTTTTTTGGCTGTGTTGGGTCTCCGTTGCTGCGCGTGGGCTTTCTCTACTTGCGGTGAGCAGGAGCTACTCTTCATTGCGGTGCACGGGCTTCTCACTGCGGTGGCTTCTCTTGCTGTGGAAAATGGGCTCTAGGCACGTGGGCTTCAGTAGTTGTGGCATGTGGGCTCAGTAGCTGTGGCTCTCAGGCTCTAGAGCGCAGGCTCAGTAGTTGTGGCACACAGGCTTAGATGCTCTGCAGCATGTGGGATACTCCTGGACCAGGGCTCGAACCTGTGTCCCCTGCATTGGCAGGTGGATTCTTAACCACTGTGCCATCAGGGAAGTCCTTTTTTTAAAACAAATTTATTTATTTATTTTTGGCTGCGTTGGGTCTTCATTGCTGCGCACAGGCTTTCTATAGTTGTGGCAAGTGAGGGCTACTCTTCGTTGCGGTGCACAGGCTTCTCATTGCGGGTGGCTTCTCTTGTTGTGGAGCACAGGCTCTAGGTGCGCGGGCTTCAACAGTTGCGGCACACAGGCTCAGGTGTTGTGACTCGCGGGCTCTAGAGCGCAGGCTCAGTAGATGTGGCACATGGGCTTAGCTGCTCCGCAGCATGTGGGATCTTCCTGGACCAGGGCTTGAACCTGTATCCCCTGCATTGGCAGGCGGATTCTTAAGCTCTTCGCCACCAGGGAAGCCCCTGAACTTCTTTCAAAAATCAAAAGAAACTTATGAAAAATGGAGAAGGAAGTGGCCTTTTCTATCATATAAGGAAACATACCTTGATAACTTTGGACCAGATTAAATATATTCATTCTTTTGGAGGGGTGGCTGGTTTTGTTTAAAGATTTAGCCTTCTTCTATAATCAAACTTTTATATTATTCATTCATTCATTTATAAAATACATAATCAAACTTTTAATCAGGAAGTTTGCACAAGGCCCTCTTAAGAAGGGAAGATGAAGATATTAGGAAAAACAATACAGAAAGCTCATTTTATCTAAAGGGGTATCTCTTCATTTTTCTATTTCTCCTGTGGTTTGTGAAAATACACAGAGAATTGATTATTTCATTTTTATATGTCCCTTCAATCAAAAGGTTTATCAAACACCTAAGATTGAGAGGGATGATGAGCCAAGGCTAATGAGATGAAAAGATAAGTTAGCTAAGCTAAACTGCAAATCTACAAAAACCTTTATCTTTCTTGGGGTAAAGGAGACATTTAAAAGGGATTTAAAAATTATACAAGATTTACAGAGTAAGCTTTAAAGGGTAAAAACAGGGAATTCCCTGGTTGCCCAGTGGTCGGGGCTCTGTGCTCTCACTGCCAAGGGCCTGGGTTTGATCCCTGGTCGGGGAACTAAGATCCCACAAGCCTTGCAGCGCAGCCAAAAAATAAATAAATAAAGGGTAAAAACAGTCCAAGTACTGGGGGAGAGGGGAATTAATATATGATATGCAGGCTGCCATTTCTCCAGGACTATATTATTTAAAATGTAATCTTAGAGATCCACACATTTATCTTAGACACACTGATCAAACACTACGTACAAAATGTAAAGTATCACTGCTATGGCAAGCTTTTTAGATACTATGCATCTGTAACTTCTGAATAAATTATTCAAGTTTGCTTTATTTTGTAATATGTAAGCTACAACCAATATGTCTATATTAAAAGTTTAAAAATGATAGCTGTTCTATTGACCTAGCAATTCCACTGCTATGAATTTATCCAACAGATTTTCTAGAGACACCAAAATACATACATACAAGGCTATCAATTACAGTACTGTTCAAAATAGCTTTAAGAAAAAAAAAGTTAAAAAATGAGAAACAATATAAATGTCAATCAATACAGAGCAATTTAAATAATTTCTGAAATTTCAATATAATGGAATTCTCTATATCCTTTAAACAGATGGACCTCTGAGTGCCAATAAATATCTAAGATGTCAAACCACTGTATACTTTCCTTTTTCTAAATAACAAAAAAAGAAATACATGTACATATACACGTGTGCTATGTATGTATAGAAACTCAGCAGCATTCATAAAAAACTACCAATAGTAGTTTTATATCTAGGGCATGGTTCTGGGGATATGAGTGAAGGAGAACTTTTACTTAGCACTCAAGACCTCCTGTAGGGTTTTAATTTTTCAAAAGCACACCCTACTTTCATACCAAAATTACCAAAAAAAAAAAAATTAACGACACTGTTTTGCCTAAGATGAAGAGTGGAACAGGATCCAGAATAATATTGGAAGCTCCGGTTCATACTTTTCAATCTTCGCCAATACATTAAAACCAAAAGTCAAGTAAACTTTCCTGTGATGCAACAGATTTATATTTACCCTCTGGTCTACCACATTAAGGGTGCTGAGTCCAGGACATAAATAACACAGAATTAGTCCCCCACTCTAACCTCATTCTGGTCTGTCTCCTCCTCCCCATTCTGGTCTATCTGCTCCAGGCATATTGGCCCCTAAAGTATTCCTCAAAGGGACTTCCCTGGATGTCCAGTGGTTAAGACTCCGTGCTCCCAGTGCAGAGGGCACGGGTTGATCCCTAGGTCAGGGAACTAAGACCCTGCATGCTGCACGGCGCAGCACCCCCAACCCTCCCAAAAAAATACTCCTCAAAGTGGTTAAGCATTCTCCTGACCCAGACCCTGTGCACTTGCTGTTCCCTCTACCATAATGCTTATCCCCCAGATACTCAAATGGTTCACTCTCTCACTTATCTCAGGTTTCTGCTCAAATACCAGCATATCAGAGTGGCTTTCCCAACTCACACACGCTTGTGTGTACGTGCGGTATCCTACTCTTCACAGCATACGTCTCCAGCTGATGTATTACACATCTGTTTTGCCTTCCCCGGTTAGACTACAAGCTACATGAGGGTAGGGAATTTGACATGTTCACAACTCCACCCCCAGAATTTAAAACAGTCAATAAGTATTGAACGACTGCTTACACACAGTACCTAAAATAAAAGTAACAATCTAAGGATGCGTGGAGAGCAACAAGCAGAGCTGAGGAAAACTCCTTCTCCTGCTGTGTGGCAACGAGATCCTCTTACCGTCTGAAAGCATATTAGCTATCTCTTGTACTAGTGTTTATGTACTGTCTATTCTTAGTTTTTCATTATTTATCTCAAGGAAATTAATTTAGGCCTGAAACAACTACCTTGAGTAACAACTGGTATAGTGTTCAGGGGAACTTTTGCTTTACTTATGCATTTTAATGGCTTGAAATTACCTAAGAAACTGCTGGTAAGATCAGGAAAAGATCCAAATAAATAAAATACTAGGGAAAATGTACTGGTGGTCTGCAAAGCAGCAACTTACTCTGTTCTACTTTTCTTCTGAACCTGGTGGCCACATTCAATGGCTAAATTTTTTAAATTTATTTATTTATTTTTGGCTGTGTTGGGTCTTTGTTGTGGTGTGCGGGCTTCTCATTGCGATGGCTTCTCTTGTTGCGGAGCATGGGCTCTATGCATGCAGGCTTTGGCAGTTGCGGCTTGTGGGCTCTAGAGCGCAGGCTCAGTAGTTGTGGCGCACGGGCTTAGGTGCTCCGCGGCACGTGGGATCTTACCGGACCAGGGCTGCAACCCATGTCCCCTGCAATGGCGGGAGGATTCTTAACCACTGCGCCACCAGGGAAGTCCCAGAGATGCTTTTATTCAAGCAGGCAATTCAGAGTTATTCTGAGGAGTGATCACTGAAGACCCTAAGAAGCTAAGTCGCAATGGAACACTAAACATTTCTGGGTGATCCTAATTCCAGAGGGAGAGAGAACCACGTATCACAGGGTGTCATGAGGCTTGGGCACACTTACCTAGGGAGTTACAGCCTGGTGTAGGACACTTCATATTGAAATTGTAGCTTTCATGGAAGCGGCGGCGCTTGGGGCGATGAGAGAGATCACTGCCTGAGTCCTTCAAGGACATGTCCTTGGCAATGCTCTCATCGTGAGAAACGTTGGGGCTGGAGATGTCTATATCAGACTCAGAAGAAGGGGCATTTCCAGTTGGCGTTCGAGGTGGAGACTCATCGTGATCAGCTGTATTTTTAGTTTCTAAAGTAAAAGCAATTGGTAGAACTCATGAATGGGGTTTATTTTATTTAGAGGGTTATTATATTCAGAAGAGCTTATGGGCTTTCCAAGACCCTCTTTCTACGATTTAACCAGTAACTTTTAGCCACTTATCTGCCATAAAACTAAATAGAAAATGAAGTGAAACTAATAACATCATTCCTCTTTTGCAACTTTAAATCCTGACTAAAATTCCATCTGGAGTTTACCTAATGCATTTTACTTATCTGTGTTTCTCCCAAGCCCCAAATCATGGGTAATCAAAACTGGATGGGAATAAATCTTTAAAAAACATTACCACCCCACTCTCCTTCCAGGAGATACACAGGATGGAAGATAAATGAAAATGGTTCTTTCTGGATGACACTGAACAGACTTGGTGTGAGACTGTGAATGGACCTAACTCTAAATTAGGGGTTGCAAACCAAATGCCTACCGGGGCTGAGCAAGGCCAAATCGAGAGCTGACTGTCCCTCTCAAGGGGACAACTACTACTCAGTTCCAGCCAATTATTACTGTGGTGAATGGCCACCTAATGTTCCTAGGGCTTTCCATTTTTTAAAAGAAACTAGTAACTCAGGTTTTTACATGAAATCTTTGTTTTTACAAATACTGGCAACAAAACTTTTTTTAAAAAGTAAATACGGTTCCATCAAACCAGCTGACCAGACTTCCCTGGTGGTCTAGTGGTTAAGACTCTGCGCTTCCACTGCAGGGGCCGCCGGTTCCATCCCTGGTTGGGGAAGTTACACATGCCGTGGGGTGTTGGCAGGCTAAAAGCCTAAAGCCTTTCATCTAAGGCCTCTGATTTGGGCTGCTGAATCACAACCTCAATACCTTACCATTCCCCATTACTGATGGGTCACTCCTCTTCAGAAATTCAGAGATAAATGGACTGACAAGCATGGCTGTAAGAAAATGTGCTTTAAGCCTTCTTCATCTGTGGGTAAGAGGTACCCAGTCCCCTTTGCCTACTGCAGGTCCAATCAAATATATTCCAGCTACTCTGGACCTCAAGAGTACTAGAGTACCAAACTTGACCTCAGCAAGACACAAAAAAGGAATCAGACACACCAGCATTCACCTAGCTGAATTTTGTATTGGGCATCTATCTATCTGCAGTGGCTCCAAGCCTCCCTTAAGAGGAAACTGACTAGACCCTCTCTGTAATGGGTCCAAATCATACCATACCCACTCACCTCTATCTGAAAAGTCAACCACTTGCTCAGTTTCTGAGCCAGATGAACGAGTCTGCCGAAGAGGGTATTTTTTCGGAGTCACTGGGGTAGGCTGCTGCTGACTACGGGTCACTCTCCTGGTAGAATAAGCAGGCTCCTCGGTGCCAAAAGACTGCAAATTTCGAACAGGACTGGAATCTGATCCCGATTTTTAAAAACAATAAAACAATTAAAGAAAAAAGAAGGAAATCTGTTTTATTTCCCAGTGGTATGACTTATTAGCACGTAGGCCCTCCTCTTCATATTTCACAAAATCCAACAAATCCTCAAAATATCCATTTTATTGAACTAAATATAAGCAAAATAGATCAGGTATAGAGATGCAATACAACAAGGAACTAATAGTTTAGGCTCTGGAATCAAGACTGAACGTGATTCAGTTCCACTTCATCATACTAATTGGCTGTGGCATCTTGGGCAAGTTAATCTCGCCAAGCCTGTTTCCTGATCTATAAAAAATGGGGCAAAACTAGTAACATATTCCTCATACATTTTGTGTGAGAATAAGTGGAATAATTCATGTAAGGCACCTAACATGATCCCTAGGTAGCTAAATCTAGTGCTTTATAAATATTAGCTACGTCCTCTCTTTCTTCCTTTACTCTAACCCACCAGAAAACAGATGCTCTACTACTAAAGGTATATCAATATACGAATATTTCCTTTCCTTAAGGATCTCTTTTTTTTCTTCCTGATTACCCTATCTGATACCCTAAAGCAAAATAATATTAGATTCGTAAAGGGCAAGGCAAGACTACAACTTTTAAAATTCTTTTGGATAGAGAAGTCTATTCTGAAGCACCCAGTAGCCTTTTCTCATCTCTACTCTGATGACACTCAAAGAAGGAATAAAAGAAATTCAGAGCTAAAGTTAAAGCATATTTTAATCAACAAAAAATCCTAACATGTATATCTTACAGATTCTTCAAAGAAGAAAACTGAAATTCTCCAACTCTTGTGTAAAACTTAGCACACAGCTAGGTCTTCAGTTTGCATACGTCCAGGGGGCTCCATTCACAATGTACTGATAGTCTACATTTTGCTTTAGAGAGGGTCATCTTACATGGACCACACTGTGAACGGTGCCCCGTGGAGTTGTGCGACTCAGTGGTCATAAAGTAGAACGAGAAAGAGACCCAGAGCTCATGTAATTCCTAGCTATTTTGAATATTTACAACTTTCAGGTGTCCAGGGCATGACCAATTATACTTTCTAAGAACACTTATGCCCATTCCTTTGCATATACTGTACTCTCTACCTATAATAACACTTTCCCATCTTTCAACTTGTAAATTCCTACTAGATCCCGTAAGATTTCCATATCTGGGATTCCACGGTACTCTATGCAAACCTCTCTCAGAGCCCGTTCCACAATGCATTACCATACCAGTTTACATCCCGAACTAAACTGTGAGCTCCTTGAGGGCAGGAAGTATGATTTTTCTATCATGGTATTCCAGTACATAGCATAGTACCTGAATTATAGTAGCCATTTATCAATATTCCCATTATGCCAAAAGATAAAACTTAAAAGTTGAGAAATCAAGAGACAACATCTATACTTCAGCTCAAGTATTAGATTCAAAAATAAAGTAAGGAACAGTTGCTGAGAATGTTCCCACTTTCTTGCTTGAAAGAAGAGATGTTTTTCTCTCATTTTGCAACATGCTTATACAAAGCACTAACCAAATCAACACTGTTTAAGCGCTCTAAGTACATTATATTTTCCCTCTTGACTTATTACCGCCTGTTGATCATCAGCTTTCTGTATTCATTACAACTTTCTTTCTTCCCCAGGGAATCCCAGAGCAGAGCCAAGAGGGTTTAGGGGTACCCTCCAAATCTAAGCCCAGATAGCTCATTGCACTAGAGAACCTTCCGACACCAAGATTCTCTGTTCTTTACTACCACAGCAAAATTCTGGGTATTTACAGTTGATAGTTAGGTCAACTATTTATATTTATTACCTGTACCTGACCATATTACAGAATTAAACGTGGCTTTAAAAGTATTGGGCCTCCTATAATAACAAGTTCAAGAGACTATTTTAAGTCCCTAGGCCTAAACCATTCTAACGAAAGTGAAAAGATAGCATTCTCATTTTACTGATAGGGAAACTGTAATCTATAAAAAATTAAATGACTCAGGACATACATGTGTCACACACCTATTAAACCAGACATAGTTCCTTTGGGTCTACAAATTGGACAGTACCCCCAACAGAACCATTTTTAAAACCCTGATACTTCGCAGTCATTTACTCTGCATTTTACCAGATTCTGTCATCAACATCAAGACATGGGACCAGTTTCCACAGTGACTAGCACCATAATGTGATGTCCAGCCAGCTGTGAGGTGTGGCCAGGAAGAAGGAAGCCGCCTTTTACCTTGGGAACTCTGGCTTAGTCGGGCTGAGGAGCGGGTGACTCGGGCGGATCGCCGGGATGTGCCATCACTCTCTGAACTGTCTGTGTGCTCGAGATCTGTAGAAAAATCGGAATCTTCGGTTCCATCTGAACTACTGCCTGCATTCCTCTGTAACACCATAGATCCAAACATTAGCACAGAAACATTTACTCTGTGGGTTTGAATTAACACTGGGAAAAAAACGAGCTGAGATACTGAAAACACCAAGTTCAAACCTAAGAAAGGATTCCACAGACAACTTTCCTTTATTGAGAGCATTTAAATGAAACAACCTACAAATAATGCACCCTTATTAAATAAACACAGAAAGAGAATTCTTACTGTATTATCGTTAATTCTGAAACAAGTCCATCTGGAGGTCAGTACCACAAACTGGAAAGTATTCTACTCAAAACAGATTGGTTGACATAACCATGTACTTACAGAAAGTCCAGGGTAATGAGAAAAATGTTAGTACTAGACCCCACTGAAATTCAGAGTAGCTTTTGTACAAAGTCTCCATGAACAGCTATTACATTTTTAAAAACTACACACTAATTCAAAATGTCATGGTCCACAACTCTGATCCCAAAAGAACTTAAGGAGAAAAAGAGTAACATTCTTCTTTCTTATCTACTTTTGAAGTTTCTCCACATGAATGGCAAAAGTGCTTTAAGAAAGGGGGGAAGGGAGCGGCTTGCACATGAAGACTCATAGGTATGCAAAAACAAAAGGTTTTTAAAAATCATCTTTTAGGGCTTCCCTGGTGTCGCAGTGGTTGAGAGTCTGCCTGCCGATGCAGGGGACACGGGTTCGTGCCCCGGCCTGGGAAGATCCCACATGCCGCGAAGCGGCTGGGCCCGTGAGCCATGGCCGCTGAGGCTGCGCGTCTGGAGCCTGTGCTCCGCAACGGGAGAGGCCACAACAGTGAGAGGCCCGCGTACCGGAAAAAAAAAAAAAAATCTTTTAAATTAATAATTATTTGTCAATTGTTAGCCTCCTGAGGCATGATTAACCATAAAGATAACTTTTATCAACTGAGCATTAACACCATACCTTTTACTAAACCAGAAAGAGAAATGTATTTGCTAAAAAACAAAAGAACACCAAAGTTTCAAATTACAAGTCCCCAATTCTTTATTCAAAATCCTCAGGACCAGCTGTATTTAGAATTCATAACTTTTTAGAATTTTGGAAAGGGAATAATTTGCATATATGCTGCAAATAACACCCTTTCTGCAGCAAAATATGTAAACAATCACACTAAATGAGACACACGAAAACTCAGGACAGTTTAGGACAGGTTTTGTCACCGAATAAGTTACTAGAAAATTTACATTTTCAAGAGCTCTTTGTATTTGGGAATTGAAGAAAGGGGACTGTGGGCCTATTCCAAGGCACCAGTACTATTCCTGCATTTGGTAAGCCTTAACATAAATACCACCTGTCAATGTATGTCATTTTAGGAGACATTAAAAAGTGTAAATATTTGAAAGCCTCTGTGAAGAGAAACATTTCTTCAGAAGTGAACATTACCACCCAATTTTCCAAATATTTCAAGTCTAATCTGCCCAGATAATGAGTGGAGGCCCCAGAGAGGGTCACAGAAAATTGATAGGATAAAAGGGGGAATCTTAAAGGTCATCTAGTCCAATTACCCAGATATTTGAATCCCTGATCATCTCTGACCATCCCTTCCTGGCTTGACTGTAGAACTCTGTTCTTCTCTCTGGCTTTCACCAATCTACTTCTCATCTTATTCCAGAACAGACTTAATTGCTCTCCCACTTCCCTGACATTAAGCTTTGTACATTACTGCCAAGTAGAGAATTTACTAGATCCTTCTACAGTTATTTATATGTCTGTATTCCCCATCAGACTCTGATTTCCTTAAGCCAGGGTTCACGTCTAATTAATTTCTGAATCCCCAGCAACCAGCACGTAGCAAGTAGTCAATAAGCATTTGTTGAACTGAATTAGATTTGTTCTGTAGTCCTGGCTCTGCCATTGCCTAATTGAGTAGCTTGGGGCACTCCAATAAGCCTCTGTTTAGCTGAGAAAAGAAGGGATGGGAGTGTCCTTAGGTGATCTCATAAGTCCCATCTAATTCTACAAAGTTTCTGATTTTACGAACTGCATTTTCTAGGCGCTGTCCAACTAAGGAAACAATAATAATTACAGCTTAGGAGCAACAGGCCAGAGTGGGCGCTGGTTCTCCACCACCCAGTCCTCTGCTTTGTTGTGTCCCCCGCGGGGAAAGGAAGGATGCTCCAAAACCCCGCCTCTCCTCCTACGAGCATCTCCAGACGGAAGAGAGGGGGATTCGTGCCACCCAATCGCGGCCCCGCTAAACCGCGCCCCCACAGGACAGACTGCCAAGCCCAGCCAATCAAGAGAAAAGGGATCGTTCTCTACCGCCAGTAGGAGAGCGGTGGGGCCGGGCCCAGACACCGCCCCCACATGCGGGGAGGTGACCGTTGAGCCCAAATGGGCGGTGTCACCAGCCAATCAATATGCTACTAGACGTTTCAGCGACCAATTAACGAGAAGAACGCCTCCGAGCCAGGCAAGCAGAGGGCGGGAATAGTTGCAAGCATAGGCCGAGGCCAGGGTCGGGCCCACATTTTTCTGTTGGGTATGGGCAGAAGAGAGGATTGCTGAGCTAGATTCGGGGGAGCGGGAAGTTGGAATCCAACCACTGTGAGGCGTGGCCAACTGCGTCACGTTGCTCAAAAGACTGTCCTTAGAAACCCGCCATCCCTCCTGTCCCGTTCCTCTCACCTTCCTTCGCGGCATTGCCGGCGGCTGCGGCCCGACGGTTCCGATTCGGGCAGCGGCGGCAGCAGCAGTAGGAACGGTGGCTCCGGCGGGCTCCGTGGCGGCCTCTGTAGCAGTCCCAATCCTGCGTACGATCCCAAGTGCCTCCTGCTTCACAGCGTCTACAGCCTTCTGCGCAGGCGCCGCGGGCTGAGGCGCTTTTTCCTCTATTTCCGGCTGGGGTTCGCGTCACCTGACGTTACGGGTCAGAGAGGATGCTGGGAGGTTCGTTCCTCCGGTGAGGCTACTGAGCGCCATTTTGGACTTGGTCAGGAAGTGACACCGATGGTGGAAACCGGCGTGAGCCGTGCTTAGTTAGGGGAATGGCACCCTTTGTAGGCGTGGGTAGCCATTCCTGTTTGGGGCAGAAGCCCGACAGTTGAAGTTAACGGTTCTCATCTTTACCTTGGGCAACATTTCCCTTCCCGGTCGTTTTAATTTCCGAAGTCGGAGAAGGAAAGCCCCAGAATCCATCAGGTTGCTGGGGTTTAACCCCTTCGTCGCCGAATTGGCTAAAGGACGTTTCCGTTTATGACATAAACTCAAAGTTGGGAAGGGATATTTTGCAGAAGAAACTATATTTTAACAACCATCTTGTGTCTCAAAGTGGTGAGAATGGGGGCTTGTGAAAGGAACGAAAGGGTAGTGTCTATCATCGGGAAGTTTCTTGTCTGGTAGAGGAGACATTGTCCTTGCCCTTAGCGAACAGCAAGTAGGTAATCCCGTTCACTCGCGAAAGGAGACAGAACCATTCTCCAGAAGCTGTAGCTCCAAAGAATTACCAATTTAGTTCTGTGGTGAGCACATTCTGTATGGATTTGAGAGCCTTGGGTGGCCTGCAGGGTGAGAGTGTGTGTGTTTTGTGTGCGCCATGTCAGAGCCGGAGAAGCATCGAACCCGTTAGCCCAAGTGACCTCTCGAAATGCGGATGCTTGAGCCAGGAGTTGGGGGAAGGGGGAGGAGGAAGGAATATTTTTAGTAAAGCTGGAGCTCAGAAAGGCGTTGATTTTTAAATAATAGTGAGAGCGCCTTGAAAGGAGAAGTTTTGGAAGATGTAAGGCTAGAAGAGTCATAAGAAAAGGCTGGGAAGTGGACAGCAGGCATTGAGGAATTAGACTCGCTGGAAGAAAAGCCTTGAGAAGACCAAGCCTTGGCCCAGAGCTCATGGGTGGAATCCAGCCCCGCTCAGTCATTAAGTTAGCATCCTGGACCCCCGTTTTACCTGAGGCTAGCTAAGATGGAGATTTCCCCCTGGAGCTGAGCGAAGGAACAAAGCCGCAGAAGGTAAACAACTGATTAATGCGCTGAACAGAGGACTCTGAAGAATTGAAGGTCCAGACCCTCGGTTAGTACTCTCCTTGGAGATATCCTGGGCTGGTGTTAACACAGGAAGCTTTTAGTATTTAGTGTTTAGCTTTTAGTGTTTACTATAAATACCTTTGAATAATTTACTTAGGTTGAATTGTACATAAGAGCTTGTTTGGAAAAGGCTCATGTTTCTTCTTCTTTTGTATCCCCTCAGGACTTAAGCATTTAATTTCACACTATTACTGTTATTTTGCACTTACTGGAGTGTTCCTGAGGCTACTCTTGGATGTTGTGGCTCCCCGACTATTGGTAAGGAGCTCTAATGTTAAGAGCATATCTCATTTCTTTTATACCATCCTTAATATTACCCAGAGCTGGGCTTCCCTGGTGGCACAGTGGTTAAGAACCCACCTGCCAATTCAGGGGACACAGGTTCGGGCCCTGTTCCGGGAAGATCCCACATGCCGCGGAGCAGCTAAGCCCGTGCGCCACAACTACTGAGCCTGTGCTCTAGAGCCCGCAAGCCACAAGTACTGAGCCCACACGCCATAACTACTGAAACCCATGCGCCTAGAGCCTGTGCTCCACAGCAAGGGAAGACACCGCAATGAGAAGCCTGCACACCGCAGTGAAGAGTAGCCACGGCTTCCTGCAACCAGAGAAAAGCCTGCGCGCAGCAACGAAGACCCAACGCATCCAAAAATAATAAATAAATAAATAGTACCCAGACCATGCTCTATGTACAGTAAATTCTTGCTAGTCAATCAGAATATGTTTACTGTTTCACAGTCTCTGAATGTATAGCACTCGAAGATGGTGAAGTATCCCTCCCTAGAAATTAGTGTTTTAGAATAAAATCCTGACTTAGCCATTCAAAATACAAACACCAGCATTACAGATGTTCAACATTAGTTAATCCCTTACACCGAATTTTCAAACACTGCAGGTAGCATTAAAAGAGTTTACAGTTTCCTTTAGACATGGTTCTTGTCCTGGGAAGGTGTACCCTCTGGCAGAAAGATGAAAAAACTAACACCAAGAAGGTAGAAATGTGATCGTAAGAAAGGTGTGTACTAAAGATGAAAGTCAAACAGCTAGGTGTGTGTGTGTATATATATATATATATATATATTTTTTTTTTTTTGGCTGCATTGGGTCTTCGTTGCAGTGCGTGGGCTTCTCATTGCGGTGGCTTCTCGTTGCAGAGCACAGCCTCTAGGTGCATGGGCTTCAGTAGTTGCAGCACGTGGGCTCAGTAGTTCAGTAGTTGTGGCGCACGGGCTCAGCTGCTCCCTGGCATGTGGGATCTTCCTGGACCAGGGATCAAACCTGTGTCCCCTGCATTGGCAGGCGGATTCTTAACCACTGCGCCACCAGGGAAGTCCCTTTTTTTTTTTAGCTAGGTATATTTAGAATGGGGAAGGGGAAATCCTAAAAGCTTTTTGCTCTCTTCCTTTCTTTTTTTGAACCAAACATAATCTTTACTTTGAGTTTTATTTTCATCATGATACAGTTATTGCACAAAGCAGGAACTGATGTTCATTTCAAAGCCTTTTACCAGTTGCCCCCTGCCCGTACTCGTACGCCAGACTTCACATGGGTAGCTCCACTGCTCTTCCTGCTTTTATGCTTTCACACAGGCTTTTCTTCCTGCCTTGATGCATCTCGCAACCTTCTTTACTATTTCTTCAGAAGGTCTTTCCTGATTTATTCTTCCTAAGGTATTAGGGCATAGTGATTTATGTTATTTTGCACTTACTGCTTTATGTGTACTTTTCCTTATACAGTTTGGTAGATGTTCTGTTTCCCTCTCTCCTTCCCTAAAAAGTAAGAGGAACACAACTCCTCTTTGTTTTACTCATCAGGTCTTCTAGCGTCCAGTACAGGGTTTGATGTCAGATCTGGATTTGAATTTTAGCTCTGTCGCTTTCTGTCTGCATTGCTCTTGGACAAGTTATAAAATTTACCTGTGCTTGAGTTTTCTCATCTGTGAAGTGGAGATGCGAATAGCCACTTCACAGGGTTGTTATAAGGATTAAAGGAAATGATTGTTATAGAGAGCTTAGCACAGTTCCTGACAGAGTAAGTGCTCTTACTCTGGCAATAAATGGCTGTTGTTACTGCTATTTATTATTCCAGTTACCCTAGTTATGGCAGTAACATCTTAATGTTTGTGAATATAGCTTTATATGGTCTCGATGATTACCCAGGCATTATATGTCAGGCATTGAGTCAAAGCAAGATGGATAAAACATCGTGTTTCCACAGGCCGGTAAGCTTGTTGTTCCAAAACACTATAAGAGTATTAATGGAAAAATAGAAAGATGAGCAAGGTTCAGAAGTGCTACAGAGGAGGAAGTGGACGGTTTTATCAGGAGAGTTTAGGAAAGGATGCATAGAGGAGGTGAAACGAGTAGAACTTCATAGGACGAATAAGTTTGCCAGCGGACAAGGAGAGTAAGGGCTTTCTATGCAGAGGGAACAGCATGTGCAAAAAGCACAGAGGTGTGGAGCAGTACGGCGTGTGGGTGACTAAGGGCATGACTGGATTTGGAGTGGTTGACATAAGAAGAGGCATGAATGGTTTTGGGAACCAGTTCATGCAGAGCCTTGAATGCCCTGCTGAGGAGCCTGGGCTGGAGGTGAGGGGGAATCTCTGAAGGACTTTAATCAGAGGAGTCCCACGATTAGACTTGAACTTTAGAGATCTCTTTCTGAAAGCTGTGAGGGGGACTGATCAGAGTGGCAGGGAGACCAGTCAGAATGCTTCCATAATAATACCCTTACCCAGAGCTGAGGAGGAACCAAACAGGGCAGGAGTAGCGAGGGTAATCTTTTGTGTATGTTCTTATGAAGTTTCTTTCTCATACCTGTATCTTGTCTCCTCAGTTACATTTGAAGCTCCCTAAAAGATCCTTCAATTTCCTTTCAAATGCTCCCCTTGCCAGTAAAATGGTGGGTACCATATTTCAAACATAAAGTGTAGTTGTCCATTGTTTGCTTCAAAGGCCTGGGAGTTCCTGGAGGTTGGGAGCCTTGCCTGGCTGGCCACATCGTCTCCAGCTTCTCCCTTGCTGGCATCTAAAAGGGCTCAGTAAATGGTGTGGCCACTGCCAGGTGTTGGCTCAGTTAGGAAAGACTTGCACAGAACCAGCCACCCTCTCACCTCTAAGCCTCTTTTTGACCAGGAGGGGTTAGGGATAGCAGTTTCCTCTGTGTGCAGATAACTGTCCTGTAAGGTGGGAGAGCATGCCTTGACCTTTTAAAGACAATGCTAGTGTAGCCAGGCCAATCTCGCAACTTCTGAGTAAAAGTATTGGCCTAGTCTCTGTCCCTCTGCAAGAATCTCAGAATTTGCTGATGTGACCATAATTCATATTAAAATCTTTTCACTCACAGCTGCCTTAAAAATAGAGTCAGCAGAAATAAATAAATAAATAAACAAGTAAGTAAATACTTCTTTTTAATTGAAAAAAATAGAGTCAGTGAGGTCATTAGTGGTCCCTCCTTTCTTACTCTTGCTGGAGATGGCCTGAAACTTCTCTTACCTTCTTGGTCACTTGTTAATTTGGTTCTTGGATCACCTTATCCACCACCCACCCCAGCCCCGCCCTGGGGGAAGGTATTGGACAGATCCCAGCAGGCTCAGTCACTGTTGCCCACCTCTGTAGCTGGGGTTATAAATAACGGCCAAAACTAAATAGTCAAATAACTGCATTTTGAAAATTGCTAAAAGTAAAAAAAAAAAATCACTCTGATCCTGATTCAGTAGCAGTTCTTCTCCCACTCCTGCCCTTCATCTCCCCCTTTCTTCCACTTATCTACCTCCCTTTCCCCATCCAAGCTCCCTGGGGAAGCCAATCTGAGCACAAAGCCCTCATACAATGAAGACATCCTTTTCCTTATTTGACAGGGCCAGAGCCTCCAGGGCTGTAGTTATAGTTACGCAATGTTGTTATGGCAGCAGAGGCCTCAGGGCAACATATGTTCCTGGGTGGTAATTGGGTTTGCTTTAACAGACTGTCTATCCCTGGGTTCTCCATGCCCAAATTCACTTATCAAGAAAACCAGGGAATTGCTGTTATGGATGGGCCTTCTTTTTTTATTTTTAATTCTAGCAAAACCAAATTCTTTATTCCCCAGGATAGAATGTACCCAGTGATCATGGGTTGGGACTTTTTAGACTGCAGACATTTTCATTTATTCATCCAACTTATTGAACATCTGATAAGTGCTAGGCATTGGGTAGGAGCTGAGTGCACACTGTGAATAAACACACATGGTCTTTTCCTCCTCCAGCTGACGATTTAGGACAAGTGTGTATAGGAAGGGGCTGGGGGAGTATGATGTTCACAGGCACCAACCCCCTCCACCTTTTCAAAAGTTACTAACACAGTATAATAACACTAAATAAATGTCTGAAAAAATAAAAGACATCCTTAATCTCACTGGTGCCATAGAGCTATTTTTATTTTTTGCATATTGCCTTCCAATTTTTCTCCACATGTGTACATTTTATTACATGTACACGTTTTGTATAAATGCACTCATTGTTTACATGAAATTTCATATTTTTTACACATTCTCAATATTTCCCGTGTTTCTCTGTAGTCCTCATAATTGTAATTGTAATTGCCGTGTGCCATTGCAATGTGGCTTTGTGACATAATGTGCCCTCACTCCCCTATTTGGGATTATTGAGCGTCTTTTAAGTCAAATAATGCTGCAGTGAGAGTCTGCATGCATCTGTAGCTCTCCTGTTTTTATTTCTGCCTCTTATACGTTGCTTTATTTCTTTCCCCAAAGACTTGCCCAAATTTAAAGTGTCACCATCATTGTGGGAGGATACCAATTTTAAGATGTTCCCAGAACTGAGTGTTACCACTTAATAAAATCTTGCAAGTTTAGTAAAAAAATGAAAACTGCACCTCAAATGTGCTTTTCATTTTATTTCTAGTTAGGATAGACTTCAGTCTTCCATGTGTTTCTTTACTAGTCCTGTTTCCTCTTCCATGAAATCCTATGTATTACTCATTTCTCTACTGAGGTCTTGATGATTTTCTTTTAAGTTTGTGTGAAAGATGCTTTGTCTGAGCCATATTCAGCTATGGAATCAGTGTTACTAAGAAAGCAGAAGATTTGCTTCATAATGATTTCTCTAGTTGTTTCTCCTCACTCTTTCTCTCTGGCTTTCCTATTACCTCTAGTGGTAAACTCTTTGTCAAGTATGCATGCTATTAAGAAGGAGAATGATATTATGAACAGAATGTGTAGATGACGTGGATGAAAGCAGTGGGGAGGCAGGTTAT